AGGATGGGATACAGTAGACAGACAAGATTCAGCTGGACGATCGAGACTTCGCAGATGATCTGACTCTTTTGTTACACACGTAACAACAAATGTAGGAGAAGACGAACAGTAGGTCTCAACATACGCACAGAGAAAAGCAAGATTCTGCGATACAACACAGCATGCACCAATCCAATCACAATTGACGGAGAAGATTTGGAAGATGTAAAAGCCTTTACGTATTTGGGCAGCATCATTGGTGGAAATGGTGGATTTGATGCAGATGTGAAAGCTCGGATCGGTAAAGCAAGAGCAGTACACTTAGAACTGAAGAACGTCTGGAACTCAAAACAACTGTCAACCAACACCAAGGTCAGGATTTCCAATGCAAATGTCAAGAAAGTTCTACTATATGGGGCAGAAATCTGGAAAACTACGAAGACCATCATCCAGAAGATACAGGTGTTTATTTACAGCCATCTACGCAAAATACTCGGGGTCCGTTGACCAGACACTATCCGTAACAACCTACTGTGGGAGAGAACAAACCAGATCCCAGTGGAGAAATAAACCAGGAAGAAGCGCTGGAAGTGGATAGGACACACATGGAGTAAAGCACCAAACTGCGTCACAAGGCAGGCCCTCATATGGAATCCTGAAAGCCAAAGAGGGAGAGGAAGACTGAAGAACACATTGCGCAGAGAAATGGAGAAAGACATGAGAAGAATGAACAAAAATTGGATCGAACTGGAAAGGAAGGTTCAGGACAGAGTGAGTTGGAGAATACTGGTCGGCGGCCCATGTTCTATTGAGAGTAACAGGCGTAAGTAAGTAATCTACAAACTTAATGTGTTCTTCATCATATTTCGGTGACTAAGATAGGACGAGTCTGTGTAGACAGTAATCTGATTTATAGAATAAGTAGTCATATCATTACAAATCTACAATTTTAGGATTAGGTCTGTTATTAGAACAGTACTTGTAAAATTATGGTCTACTTCGTTGCTAGCACTATACTTATAATAGGCCTAATCCTAAAATTGTGGAGTTATCATGATGCGACTGCCTAATCTATAAGATCTTACATGGAAGTCACATCATTGTCTACACTGATTCATAGTATCGCAGCAGTCACCAAAATGTGATGGAGAACACGTTTAGGCTATAGACAGAACATAATATTGAATATGAATAAAAGTTGCACAAGAATGATCACGCCTGTAAGGCCGAGCTGTGCTATTCGATGAATTTGAATTAATTTAATTTTTTCTTCCTGCCTTCTCCATCGTTGTGTTTTTCGCCGCGTTAAATGTTGGATATCTATTTTCTCAGTTGTCTCGTGTTCAGCTTTGAGGATTGTGGGGCTGGGATTCAATGCCACTACATACTAATAACAAAGTAGTACACTATTGTACATTGGTAAGCTCCACTGAAGAAACGCAGAATATTAATAATCCTCATTTTTTGACTTAATTTTCTTAATCGATTTCTATTTATGTTAATCCCTTATTCTATTAGTCCTCTGGGAAACGCTAACGTGTATTGTCGTCTTATTATGTTGATTATTACTCATAACTTGCTAGCTCAATCGATACTAATAACTGATCACCTATATTAATCATTAGCTACGATGGTTCATTGACAAGCGTTAATAGAATTTACAGGCTTCAGAGAAATAAACTTGTTAAAACATCGTGCTATGGCAAATATGGCATTTAAATGACGTAAATGTACATTGATTATCAACGTGAGCAAGGACTAAATGGTTATCTAGACCTAATTCTTCATCTCGTTTCTTCACTTAACGTCAAACTATGTTTTAAACTATGGACTATCTTGTAATATCTTTTAACCCGCCCACTGCCTGCCTAATTTCCAATTTTCGAGTTCCACTGCCGAACAACGAAACCAACACAATACTAGATCTGTTGTCGGCCGATTTTCTGTCAAGTATCTTCAAGTAAAATGTGCATATTCACATAATGAGATTTATAACAGCATTCAGAGCTGGCTATGTATATATCTACTGATCGTTGTAACGGGCAAACTCCCCAGGCTATCCTTCCTTTTGATGTTAATCTAATATTTTAAACTTCTCGACAATTCTATACACGAATGGTTGTAAAGTTCGAAGAGGAATACTTGACCTGCATGACATTTTGTGGTATTTGTAAAAACTGATGATTCCTTCGTACTCAACTGCACGCCTATTACAAATCTCGAATTTAATACGTCCGGTGTTGCTCAACTAGTTCTACATAATTTAACCTGCACTATTTCTGGAATTCTTAGTCATCACATTTCGAATAATTCTAACTACAATGCATTTCCTAAAAGCTTTCATATGCCTGTCAGAAACAGTCGCTGTCAGTACCAATAAATCTAGAATGCTTGCAGTGGCAAATAAATCATTGAACGCATTTGTCCTGTATGTTTTCGACAGTAATTTTACTGTACAAACCCTAGCTGAGGGCGCTTGGCAATGTATATGTAGAGACCTACTTTTATGAAGAGAACGCGATTGGTATAACGGAAATAATAATTATTATAATCAGCTGTACCGGTGATTGTTTTTACTGTACCTGTTTGTTTAAGTGTACCAAAAAACACTTCCGTTTTTTGTGTCCTTGCATGAACTCTCGTATTCTCAGTAGTCTCACCTGCGGATTTTGGTACGATCTCGGTATTATTTCGATACCATGAGATTGCTAACAAATTCATCTTACAGCGACCTGCAACTGCCTCTTGATATTTGACCTACGGAGCGGTCTAACCTGGTAACTGGCACGTAGTCCTCCTGTGGTGGTGATCATAGTCAACCGCGACTCGAAGCCTACCGCAAATCTGCACTAGATCATGATTGGGTGCGTCTTGTGAACCATCTCTCGCAACAAATAGCCAGCTGAGCCCCTTGATTCTCGAGTTCTGATTTGACGGGATTGGTGTCTTTCGACTATAAAGTTGCTATAGAGGAGCTTTGTCAGACCGCAAATTTCTGTTCTGTTTTTATACTTATAAGGAACTCCACTGTACTCGTCGCGTACAGAACTTCAGCTTCAATCTATGTGATATTTCAGGTGTCTTTTTATGATAAATATAAGTATTCGAATTATTGTATTGACTAGGAATTCTCGAAGCAGTGCAATTTAGAACTAGGAGGGCGTAAAAGTATGTATCGTATTTAGAATACAAAATCAATTAGGAATGGAGTACAAAACAATGATTAGTTCATACGAATATCATAACTGCCACGGCTTAAATTTAAATCTAAATATCTGTAATCGATTATACGTCTTCTTCTAAGGTTCATTGAATGTCCTTTAGTCTATGTGTTGGATACAGACTGTGTATGATCTAGAATATGATCATTAGTATTAGAATTAACAGCGAAAATTGGAATAGACATACCTGGTTCTTTGTGCTGCATTAGACTGTTGTGAGTGATTTGCATATGAACTACAGATTTGTTAACCTGCCTAAGCAGAACTTCCATAGATTGTGAAAAAAGGAGTTCTTTTGAAAAGATTTGTTGTTTAATCAACTTCATCATTGTTTATCTTGCGTACGGCGTGGCAATTATGCACTGAGGAACTTTTCCCATTCTCTCCTCCGGGTCTTTTAACCTTGCAGCAGTAGTAAAACTGACACTTGTTTTCAGGGTTTGGAGATTTCTTACTTGCACATGAAAACTAAGGGACTTTGGAGTCGAGTATAAATTTCCGAATTTCGATTCATTAGTTAGCAAGTTATCAAGCACATCATAAGAAACATTTCCAGTTATCACAAAGGGGAAGCTGACCCTGAACCACTCCTAGCGTAGTCGATCCAAGCTCAATGATGAGAAATTCACAATTTACAATTGAACATTTATCATCGCTGATCGACAAATTACTACGTTGAAGAATAGAAGGTTTATGACCAGTAATACTCGAAGTGACAACTTGGGTAGGCGTGATTACAGTATCAGAATTCTGTGACTTTTACTTTACAACCGAAACGACGGACTTAACATTGTCAGTGTCAACAATAAAAACATGAAAAGTACCACCAGGCATTTGGGGTCGTTTTTGATTGTGAAGGGAACTACTGGAAGTTGTCAATAAGTATAATATATGATCATTAGAATCGACCGAATTATTAGGATCTGAATGGCAAAGTTTATTAGCACAATAGTTTTGCAAACTGAATGAATGTGTCCAGTGTTACCACAGCTGGAGCATTTAGCATTATGAGAGACACATAAATTAAGTGCATGAAATTTGCTATAGGGCAAACACTTACGAAACTTGTGTGTCACCTTCGTTACCTGCTTTGCAATTCTTGTCTGTATGAACTGTGGTAACTAAAAAGTGGTGTGTAGTCCTTGGTGTCCTGGAAGTCAATTTTATGCACTGCTTCATAAATAATACACAAGGTTCTAGTATCTTCAAAGAGACATTTCGGCATTTGCATGGGATATCTTACCAGACTAGATATGTTAATCTCTGCAGTCAATCGATCATGCAGCTGCATATAAAGATGATCACCAAAATTGCATCTGGCAGCTTGCTTTTGTAATCCAAGGATAAGTTAGCCAAAATTTTGGTTGTGCCAGCACCTTAACATTTGTTTGCTCCTCGAAAAGTGTTAAAAAGGGATATGATAGTGAAGTTTGGACTAGAAAGTAAACCATAATCAAATCATATAGGAGCTCTGAACTTGCAGGTGGTACGGTTCAGAAAGAATAGGGTAGATATGATCATAGCGCATCATATCACTCATTAGTACCTCCCATATGGCTAACGTCTCATGCATTTTAGCAATGGTCTACACTTAAAAAAGCATCCACGCTGGATAGAATACCTCAATAAAATTCTTTTAAACTTTGCCGTGTTCATAAACACCAAACTGCCGAACGTTTTGCTAGGAGCAATAATATTAATGCCTCCTAATCATTTATTCCCTTTTCATCTAGATACAAACCCCAGAAGACAAACGAATCGCTAATTTTGTCGAGAGAGGTTTGTACTTTGTACATGGTCACACTATCAAATATGTGCGCAACGGCGCTAAATGTCTGTGAAGGCCGTTCCGACTGACTTATGTTTAAGGAGGTTAAGCCTGAAGTAACTGATTTTATCGAACAAAGTAGGAAGCAAAGAAATGAGCGGCGTGATGCTAAAGCTAGAGCGCTATCTGCTGTAATCATTCAAGTGAGTTTAAACAATGTTTTAGGATAGTTGTAGAAAAACTGGAGAAGTTTCGTAGTTAGGAGAAATGTCATTCGAGGCTTTCGGTTTGTCCGTTTTTAGGTAAACTTGTTATACTCAGATCGGAGTTTGACTTCAAGATACTTGAAGGAAACGGTGTCAAATTGACTCAGTTGATTCCTGGTTTGTTAGATATTTGTCCTTGTATTTTTGCTTTAAGCCACTGAACTTTTGAGGTATGTAAAGTATCTGAAGTTCCATTATAACTCGAAACTGGATTATGAAGTAAGTTGCTCTTATCAAGGTTTAGGGTGTTTACTCTCTCTAGCGTTTTCTAGTTCTTATTCGATATATAGTGAACTCTGTGGATACCGGAGACTTTAAAGTATTTTACTTTGAATCACTAATAATATTCAGGTTTCTTATGTATCTCTGGCGTTAAGGAAACCCACACTGGTCGATTGGATAATTACAACGAAATGGTTGTTCTCTACGGTTGTCGAACATATGGGTTCTTTAGATGTAAGTTATAATCGGTACCATATATGTTTAGCCATCCATTCCTAGTGATTCCAAGGTTTTGAACATATTTCTGTCATTCTTACTAATACATACCAACTGTTGCCAGTGGTCGCTGATACAAGGTGAGTTTACTCCATAATGTATTAGTGTTATTGCTATTTGGTTTTTGTATATTTGAGTCAAGTTATTGAACTAGATGAACAAGTTTACTGTATTTAATTTGTTTTGATTCTTAACATTCATTTTTTAAGCTCAATTCTTCCTTAAGTGAGTTAATGTTAAGCAAACTATAAGACGATATGCGACACTCGAAACTCAAAATATTGGTTATTGAGTTTCTACTGCATTTATATGCTCTTTGTTTTGTCCTTATTAGGAAAAAGATATTTTGTCATAACGTAGGGATAACAGTACTGCCTGTTTATGGATTCTGTCGAGTAATTCTTAAGTTTTGCCGTATATAGCTGAACACCTCGAAGAGTTAGATGTTTAGATTTGTAACAAACATCGAGTTGAGTTTTTGAACTATTTACGGGTCTGAAAAGTGACCCGACATTTCTTTTGTGTCAACTGGATTCTGATGGTTCGTGATCTAACAAAACGTTCGAAACGTACGTTTGTTAACATGGCGTAATATATTTGAGTAACCAAATAATGTTTCATTACAGTAATTAAGAACTGTAATTGAAAACCCATCGTTTCACACAGAACTTAGTGATATGAATTATTGGTGCCTTATAATCTAGTACAGTTCACTCGAACTGAAATTGTCTGCAGCAGTCGATAAGGGTTTGATAAACGCAGGATTAAGTACACTTATTTAGTCAACAATTCTAGAAACTTTTATTGGTTTTCGTCTTCATAATTTTCTGTTACCTTTATATCTGTGCTTATAACCTCATAGGATAAGTGGTTTGTTTAATACTACCTAGAGTCCTGCGTGCTCAATATAAGCATTACTCTTGGTACAAGAGCTGTTATGAAGTTCCAAAATTGTTGGTTCATCCAAAAAAAATATGTTTGTACAACGTGAAAGTAATTGACGAAACCATAACTCAACTTCAGGCAGTCCTCACTTAACACGGTTTGAAGTTTAAACGTAACCTTTCGTTTTTGTAAAACAAGTAGTGATGCATGAGTTGAAAGTCAAAATAGTGGTCTGGTGGTTAAAGCTTTAGGTTTTCAGCCAACAGGTGTCAGGTTGGAACCATGCATCTTGAGTTAGTATCAATACCCCTCACCCAGTATGGTTCAAAGGTTAGTACATAAACCTGTACTTGGTAATTTAGTTACATTAAGTAACAATCAAGTTAATATGGATTGTGTAGTAGTCTGACAAGTAAAGTAGCTCTTCATTCGTGTTCCAGACATGCGTCACCTATTTCAATCAAGGTAGTGCAATGCTATCGTAGGTGAATAAAAGTATACTAAACGCAAGAACGTGTACTTGGCTGACGAAATGCATTGTCTACTAAATAATTTGCCTATTCATTGACGTAATTTTTCGTAGGATCAAGTTAGTTTCAATCTGTCATTCATATCTGTTAAGGAAACCGGTATTAGGAAACCGAGTGTTAGCGAAACTCTCAGAGAAAGGTGAACATATTATACATTCTCAATCCAGGAGATTGGATCGATGGACAGAACACTTTAGGGATCAGTTCAACTGGTCATCAGTCACACTTCGGTTTCTCACGATCTCCAGTCAACTTGAATGGCAAGTTAATTTAGGTCCTCCGACTCTGCAAAGTTGAAAAAGCCATAGGAAATCTGAAGCGACGGAGAGCAGCAGGCCCTGACAGGTTTACTCCTGAGATTTTTAAGGATGGTGGTTCAGTATTAGCAGTGAGATTAATTGAGGTCTTAAGTAGAATTTTGGAACTGGACGTAATCCCATCTAACTGGTCTCAATCACTGATTGTGCCAGTCTATAAGAAAGGACAAAAGTCCTCTTGTGACAATCACAGAGGGATCAGTTTGACAAATATAGTGTCTAAAATATTAGCTTCAATAATACTTCGACGCCTAACTAAAGCTCGTGAAGAGCAGACTAGAGAAAACCAGGCCGGTTTTCGATCTGGACGTGGTTGTATAGATCAGATATTCACACTACGTCAGGTTCTAGAACACAGACACACATTCAGACTCCCCACAATGGTAGTATTTCTCGACCTTAAGGTGGCATTCAACTCTGTTGATCGTGAGGTTCTATGGCAGTGTTTGTCACTGAAAGGAGTACCAAAGAAGCACATTAACCTTGTAAAGGCTCTCTACTTGAACACAACTGGTAGAGTGAGAGCTTATGGCGAACTGTCATCAGAATTGATTACCTCAAGTGGTGTTCGTCAGGGCTGTCCACTCTCTCCATTCTTGTTCAACTTTGTCGTCGACGTACTTTTAGAGATAACACTTTCCTCGTCTAAATTTCCAGGGGTTGAACTTCTACCGGGAAGTTCACTTGTTGACTTAGAATATGCTGATGACAGTTTTATTTGGTGAAGACGCTGACAAAATGCAGTCTTCTGGTCACTCTAAGCAACAATGCAAGCATGTTCGAGATGCGATTCTCTCCTTCGAAATGTAAAATGTTGCTTCAGGATTGGGTTACATCGACACCCGAACTAGTGATAGGGAGTGAAGTAGTTGAGTGTGTCGACCGCTTCACTTATCTTGGAAGTCTCAAAAGCCCTTGTGGTCTGGTGTGTGACGAAATCTGAGCACGGATACAGAAGGCTCGACTAGCTTTTGCCAACTTGCGTCATTTATGGCGTAGGCGAGATATCCGTCTATCAACCAAAGGATGGGTTTACTGCGCATCAGTTCGTTCCGTTCTACTTTATGGCAGTGAAACATGGCCGGTAAGAGTAGGGGATATCCGTAGGTTACTAGTATTTGATCATAGGTGTCTTCGAAATATTGCTCGTATATCCTGGGACCATGGAGTAAGTAATGCAGTTGTTAGGAAACGGGTACTAGGTGAGGATGGCAAATCAATTGATGACGTAGTGAAACTTCATCAGTTGAGATGGCTGGGACATGTGTTACGTGTGCCCAACGACCGACTGCCTCGATGTGCGATGTTTTGTTGTATAGGAGTAGATTGGAAGAAACCTAGGGGCGGTCAGACCAAAACATGGCACAAGTCCATGAAGTCACTAACAAGTAGACTGAGTCATATTGGTAGGTGTAGACTACCTGGTTGGGGACGGCGAGATGATAGCAACCGATGGTTAGAGACCCTGAATGACATGGCTCAAAATCGTTTGCAATGGAGCAGGTGCATCCACTCTTTGTGTTCTGCCAAATTCTAATCTTCTGGATTCTTCATGTCCCATTTTTTTATCTTTCCAAATTTATTTCACTGGATTATACTCTTTGAATAACATCTTCAAACCCTGATTTTTCTGATTACAGCTTATAATTTTACTACATCTAGCACTACGGGATTTGAATCGACCACTGCATCTCTGTGCAAATGTGGTGTGGCAACTCAAACTGGTGTACGTACGAACGAAGTTCTACGTTGTTACTGACTGACTGGCTGATCATTCATATTTAACAAATATACTTGTTCACTGATGGCAAATTTATCGCCAATAAACATGGCTTGAAATGGTTGCATTCAACTACACTCGTGTCAATTTGATTATGTGCTATATTTTCAGACAGTCTGATGCTCATAGTTGCTACCGACTAAATGATATTGACCGTAAAGATGACGTTATTATCGAATGTTTAGTAAATATATAGTAACTTGGTCCAGGTTTATTCGTTTGGCCCCTATTCATAACTCTTATTTAAGAACTAATGAAACTGGTCAGTTGCATAAAGCTTGTTAAGTAAAGTTAATCATCTAACAATCAAACCTGCGGATTTTCATGTTATCTATTTTCTGTCTTCAATGATAGATCCGTGAATACTAAATTTCAAAATGGAGATTTTATGGTGATTGTACCATAGCTGTTTCATTTGAACGCTAATTTTCCAAAGTTCTTATTTTATAGATGAAAAACTGAAGCCTGCGATGAGCCGATTGGCTACAACGTTTCTCCAGCATCTTGTGCAAAAGAGTTTATTTGAACATTTGAATGTAAATTCCCTTTTTAACTAATCGGTCGCCTTCCAGGCTGTTTTGCAAAAGGGTTTGGCTAGACACACTCCTGCATTAACAAAAGTATCTTTGACTGGTATATTTACCATTGCTATGAGGTTAGTGTTAAATTGATGGGGATATATTTCACATGAATTGGTGCTTGATTCTGCTTGTCCATGAGAGCTATGTTATTACTAAGTACTCTGGTTCAGTACCTAGAAATAGGGTCGTTAGTTTTGCTTTAATTTACGTGCCAGTGGTGTTGTAGTTAAGCATTTTTAGTATAAGAATTAACAAGTCAGCCTTTCATATATAATTCATTTAAACATTTAGGTAGTATTTATAGCACTTACATAACAATTTTCTTCTAATGTTACGTACTTAAACCTCTCATAAGTTGCTGGAGTGTAGTTATAATAACATATATTCCAGTGCTCTTAGCACTTAAATTCATTACCATCTTCAACCCATCTGTACATTGTGTGTGAAATTGATAAAGTACCTAGTCTGTTAAAAGCTTCTTGCTTAGCGCTGGTACATATTTGTTGACAGTGAAGCATTTCAACATGACGATCCAAATCAATTGGCGGCTTTCAACTTATATCTGGCAACGACATGTGATCATCATTTAAAGACAAAATAATACCTAAAATTTCAACAAAGACATGTGTCGCACAGATGTAATAATAGTATGAGCTGACTGAGGATAAGATCTTAATAATAATCAGTCAGTCAGCTGCAACATGGGACCGAGCACATATGTGCATTGGTCCAAGTTGACATACCTCAATAGCGTAACAAGATGAACACCGGATTCATCAAAGTAGTTAATTCAGTGGTGGTAATATATAAAGAAAGATTGTGTATAAGGATATTTATTTATTTATTTGAACACATAAATATTGGTACAAGAATGCGCCAAATATATATACGCCACACAAAACAATGAGAATTTAAGGGGAAGGAAAAAAAGAGAGAATAACGAAGAGATTGATGTAAGGTGGTGTAATAATAATGGTAAAAATGAGGGAACGAAAAGGTACAATCAGAAGAAATCTTTCAGTTGAGGAAGTTACAACCACTTTTTATGAAGAAAGTAAAAGAAGGTTACAGCAGGATCGATACTGGCTTCTATCCTGAGCCATATCTGATAACGTCTCTAGCCACTGTGTAGCACCATCTCTCAGACCACAGCCAGGGAGTCGTGAAGGACCAACACAAGCCAGTCCTTTGCAGCTTTCTTTCATACCACGACACCATGTCATGCACTGACCACCTCTCCGCTTCTTCCAACCAGTCCCAGAGTCGGCAAATAATACACGACGTGGAATTCTCTGGGACGACATTCGGAGAACATGTCCAAGCCACCGAAGTCGATGTTTCAAGATGGTGACACCAATTGAATTATCATCTCTGTGCCCGAACACACGATGCCGAACCTCTGCATTACTGACATGGTGTTGCCACTGAATGTCAGCAATCCTTCGGAGACAGCGATGATCGAACACAGAGAGTCGTCTAACGTCCTCAACTCGGAGAGGCCAGGTTTCACAAGCATAGAGCAAAACTGCTCTCACCGACGCGTTGTAAATCCGACCTTTTACAGCCAGACTAACATCACGAAGGCGCCAAAGGTGGCCCAGATTGGCATAAGCCGCTCTGGATTTCACTATATATGCACTGATCTCAACATTCACACCCCCATCAGCACTTATGCAGCTACCTACATACACGAACTTCTCGACTACTTCTATCTGCTCACCATCCAGAGTGAGTAGAGGATTAGAATCCTACCAGTCTTGTAGAAGTACTTTGCACTTCGAAGGTGCAAAGCACATACCATACCTACGGACACTGATTGCCAACTGATTAAGTGCGGATTGCATGCCTTGGTCATTATCGCACAGTAAGACAATATCATCATCCGCATACTCAAGGTCGAGAAGTCTTTCTTCAGGCAACAGATCCACACCGCCATTACTTACATTCATCAGAGCTGTTTCCAGAATGTCGTCGATGGCAAAGTTGAAGAGAAATGGTGAGATTGGGCAACCCTGCCTAACCCCACTACTCGAATAGAATAATGAGGAGAGGTGGACTCCAATCGGCGCTGATGGCCGCTTGGACTTCACTCACGGTCATTTGTATAAACCTGTGCTCGATAAATGAGTTTCATTAAGTAATCAGTTAGTTTTTTGCCTTCAAATCATTTTCATATTCAAATTATTTTCATATTCCTCGTTCCGGCAGTGTTTGGTATCTTAGTTAAGTAAACTTGACGGAAAGTTGTTATCGACTGTAGGTTACCAATCTAAGGATGTCAGACAACATACTTTGGATAGGATCCAATACTTCCGATTGTAGCTTTATGATACTGACTTCTCAGCTATACAAAAGTATTTGCATCACTGTGTTTAGGCTCCAAGCTGTAGCAAAAAAAGTTGTTTAGGAAAATAGCTTTTTTATGGTCTGTTTTATTAGGACATACTATTTTGTGGGATGTCGTTATTAGCCGATTTATATGGGTTAGTGTCTTTATAGATGATAAAAGATTCGAGTTAAAGTAAGGATAGAGGGAAAAGCAGTTGTCCAGGCCCATGACAAACAGTTTGATTTACAATTTCCATAAACATTTACGTGGATTTCTTCCAAGTTTTATTTCATGATTTATATTAACCAACTTGTATGAACTTTTCCGTATAATACATTTTTATATTTCAGACCCTTGATATATGAAAAGTTCCCTCAGAAGCTTGTTATTTCATTTACAAGAAATATCTTAACTGTACCTGGATTTATACTGCATATAAATTCCATGATGAATGAAGTAAGTGTAATATTTTTAATGGCGTTACAATTTCCTTGAAGATTTTGATCGATTTTTTATGTGTAATTTACATCTACTAACCTCGTTTTTGTTTTTCTGCCTAGTATCTTGTATGTCTTTCGAATAATTTGAAATATATTTTTACAGTGGAATTGGCAACATATAAGTTGATTTGGACTCACGAGACAAGGTTTCATATCGGTGCAAAGTCTTCATCACCCATATTGCGTCTTGGTGGTTTATCCATCCGAGGTTCTATTATTTATTACCGAAATCTCAGTTTTTTACCTATAGAATTTCATAAGGAGTATTGAACTGCTGAAAAGCTTTTTGAAATTCTGATAGCATAAAGGAGTTGTTTGTGCCAGATAACAACCTCTGGTATTCATCTCAAATCAATCAAGTTTGCATTGATTAAGACAAAGTCATTTTTCCAATGGTGTGAGGTTTAATCGTTATTCAGTGTCGAACTCATCTTCACTTAAATAGTCAGATTTTTTTTAATAATATGCAAAGTTTTCGTCATGTTAAACCAGTGAATTTATCAAAAGTACCAAGTTTTCATGGCACATTAAAAGTGCTTTTGTTCTGTAGACGTTTACTTTGATAGCTGATAGTTAATTTGTAACTCAGAAGGCATCATATAGGAGATCTTCAGTTGGTGATAAAATCGATAGATTTTCTGAAAATTGCTCTTTAAGAATAACCCGCTGGTAGATAGTTCATTCTATAGACTGAACGAGAAAAGCTCCGTCTCACGAATATCGTATCGACTCATGGGGTCTCTAGTTTATTTTAATACGTTTCTTTTTTATTGATTTTTTCTCCTTTGTCACGAAGTGTAGCAACTTAAACCAATGCATTTTATGTAATGTTATTTGTTGTTTTGTTTGCTTTATGTATAAACTAGGTGTATAATAACAGGCCTATTGTTCACATTTTCATTCGAGTGTCATGCTTTCCAAAACTCCCTGTGAAATATCAAGTTTCTTCTGTTCAGTATTTCTACACTTCATAGGTTGTTTATCAGACCATTTACTTAAAGAATACCAAGTCTCCAAAATATATTTATAATACTCAGAAATTAAAGTCCTCATGGAGTTGTCGGTATTGTGCTCATTAATTATGTAATGATGCTTTGTAAAAAAATAAGTTTAGCTGTTGAGATGTTGAAGATTTGTAGCTCAGGTGGATTATTTCGGTGGAATTTTGTCCTCTTAGCTGGATGGTTTGGCCGTGAAACTTTCATCTTTGTTCTGAACGACATCCTCAGCACAAACTTCAAGTAGAGGTTTTATATTCAACAACCATCACGTAGAGACTGAGAAAATTCCAATAAGTTAAACTTCTTCAACCATAGAGCAATACAAATAGCTGACATGATAAGATTAGTTTTGACTGTTTCATGACTGTCGTCGCAACATATCATTATCTTGTGTGATTAGAACCTTGAGGCTTGAAAGATATCGTCAGTGTATCACAATGGGGATTTCCAGTGCATTATTTTGACTCATAAGTTCAAATCCAAATCTAATTCTTTTTATTCGTCGTTTCTATAATTTCTACTTATTTATAATTTTGAATTGTTTAATCTTCTCATGGATATAAACAATTTCCAATAGAACACATAATCAAAGTATTGTAAGCAAAACGACTCTTTTCAGCGTCCTTATGTCTCTTTGTCTGAATTTTGTTTTATAATTGCCATCCTAGGATATATATATATATATATATATATATATATAACGTTATTATAAAATCTGTATATGTCTCAACTATCCTGAAATCTGTCTCTTAAAAACTTTATTACGAATGTGTAATTCTTCATTACAGCAGTTTATAAATGAAATCATTTACGTCATTTCACACGCGAATGGAATGGAATTCATAATTTAGTACTCGACTACAAACATAATTAATGGTGTACATTTGTTATTTATACACTTTCCTGTCCATTCACGTATGTAAACAAATCCTCATCTTAATTGTGTTTGATTTAATTGTTTTATATATAGGCGTATGATATTATAGTGAATGAGAGATTGTGCTCCAAAATCATCATGACATTATACGATAGTTCAGAAGAGTTCAATATTCTGCTATCTAAGCTAGATGGATCATATGTTTTATGCTTGATTGGTAAGAAATGTTAATTTTTCCATTATCTTCATATTCAGGTTGATTTGAACATACAGTCAATCAATAATAATTATAGTTTTGTAATATGCCAATGAGTAGAAAATTGTATTTTTGATGTTTCGTGACTTAATGCAAGTCACTTTCTTTTTACTTACTAAGAAGAAGTAAATCACATTAAGTCACGAAACGTCAGAAAAACAATTTTCTCCTCACTAAGATATCAAAAAATATATTTATTATTATCTTTCTATCCAATGCACAATTTATTTGAAACTATGAAGTCTAAACGTGGCATTAATACCTACAAATAAAGTCAATTATTTTGAGGATTTTCTGTTTGGCATTCAGGTCTCTGTATTTTTGTTATGAACTAAACCTAATTATTTTAAACTGACTTATAGTATTAATGTAATTCACTAACTAAACGCGAAGTTATATGTGTGTTTTGTCGAATTGGATTTCTGCTCAAAATGATCTTGGAGTTTTCTGTAACATTTGTCAAAGTATACACTCATGCTCAATATTCTCAGGTTTTTCCACAGAATCCATTCTTTATCTTCACTTGACGGGTCCATATTATTGTATACATTGAGTCGTTGATCAGATTTCCAGACCAAAGCTTGTTTCCTAAACGGGCAGCTAAATCATGTTTTTATCAAATCCCAATAAAAATATAGGTAGCAGTCATCTACACCAAACGGTATTAACTAAACTCGTTTAAAGTGGCAACATGCCTGTAAACTACCGGTGTATTCAATTGGTATTTCTAAGACTAACACTACTTATACGTGAACGTATCACGCTCACATATGAAATTTCATCAATGTTTTAACTACTAGTTCCACAGAATCTGTTGAACAGAGTACACACCATATTTAAATCCATGCTTATAAGCCTTGGTGGTTAAAATTAATTGGTCTTAATGCTCTACACTAAAGTTTAATCCAAGCTGAAGTGAAAATTTTCGGAATTATCTGTAGTAAATCAGGTAAGAAACAATACACTAAATCATGGAACGTTTCTTTAGAATAGATAAACTTGATGGATTCATTGAACTTTTAACAAAGTATTTTCTTTTCCTTATTAATTATTTCTATCAATATATATTATCTAGCAAATCTTATCCAACTCAGTCTGTTAGAAACTGATATCTTGGCCTCTCATTGTACAGAATTTTGTGTAAGTCTACAAAATTGTTAAGGTATATTTTTTCTTCAGATGCTTGATAATCTATTATAAAATAATCCAATTCCAATAATAATACTGAAAAGTGACCTTTCTAAAAAAATTTTTTTTGATTTTAACAGTTGAATTCATGAGTCGATCTAAGCTAGACCATCACCGAAAACCTGGATGCACACTGCTGAGGAATCTCATACTAGTTTTTGTACAAATTTTTGTTTAGTTTATAAAGTTCTCAATCAAAGCGAGATTGTTATTCGCTGCTTTCTATTTTTTAATGCATTAAAAAATTCCGATATCCATTCATAATACAAGCTGTTTTCAAATGTTTTCTCAATATTGATATGAAAGACGATATTACATCCTCATAAGCTTTTCCTTGTTATCACTGCATGTTATATCTAGAGCTTAGTTTCTTGTTATAACGTGTAAAACTAGAGCACTCGAACACTAGAACCTTCCAAGTCGCAGGTGAGAAGACAGAAGACAAGTGAAAGGAATGCTATTCCAAACAGTGTCATTTATAGTACAGAAATGTCAAGTATTTGTAGTTTTTAGTAAAAACGAAATCATCATTATAGTCTTTTAATCCATATACAGGGGTCATTAGCATTTATCCAATAAAGAATCTACACGTAGGGATTTTGGAATATTCTTCCAAAGATGATTGAATTGAATATCTTCGGCTCTTTCTGAGCTTCTTAGAGCCTCCTCGAGTTCACTCGTGGACGGTCCTCACACTGCACACAAACAACAGACATTTGATTTAATTGCTAAAATAATGATTAGCACTTTTGTGTGGTGACTTACGGATAACTGCTTTCGAAACTGAATATACCAACTTTTGAAGTTCATTCTGACTATCCAAATGAATGCTAGCAAAAAAATGAACGATCGACAACCATGTCGTCTCAGCGTTATTCTTTAAAAAGAAAAAAAATTTAAGCAAAACCTTTTCTGACATAGAAATATGAAATAAATATTTTTAGAATTCCACCATCTCAAGGTCTGTAAATCAGCCGATGATAATTCAAATTCATTGAGCATCCAATGGGTTTAGGGCTTCGAATATCAACCGTTTTCTTAGCCGTTATGATAATTATGTACTTAAAAATGGAACTGCCAGACATTTTGACTGGATCAATATTAGTAAGAAAATTTCATAAACGAAGAATAAATGTTTTATTTTTTCACTGTAGATTGTTTTATCCAAATCTATGCATTATTTGGCTACTTATGTTGGTAGTAAAAAGTCTAATCTTTGCAGTTGGCATCCAATTTTGGGGTGGTTCGCTCAATCACTAGATAATTCGTGAGTTCTTGTAAACGGCAATATTATAAACTACTAACTTTGATCACTGATTAACTTAACCTTTCTTTTTATTTAAGTCGATGTTAGAAATGCAATGTATCTAAAAATATATTCCACACGCTATTACACAAATCCGAAATTTATCTGTCAAGTAAAATTCATGGGTTTAGTTAAAATGATAGTGTTGTAATCCTTTTTAAACGAATTTTTAGAAAAATCAAATTGCCGATTGACTTTACTAATTTTATTCGGTACCACTTGAAACTCATTAAATTGACTACACATCAGTTTCAACAGATTTGAAAAATACCTAGATCTAAACATTATTTAGTATTAAGGGTTTTATTCAATATTATATATTTTGGTACAACATAGAATTCTCAGCACAAAGTATTTCAACAAGTTTCGTTGTCTTATTTCTTAATCGATCCTGACAATAAATATTAAGTGGTCGCCAGTTAGATGGAAACAGTTTAGGAATCGACATATGAATAATGTTCATTCTTTTCAATCCATATTGTCTGCCACCATGATGTCGCTGATTGTACATTTTCGTAACTTGTACAGTAAAAGGTCGTGAACTTTTGATAATCGCACCTAAATAGGTTATGCGAATAATAGACATAATAATGTGTTAAAACAAACAACAACATAACTTGTTGAAATATGTCGATAACAGGAAAAGGTAGCCCAGATATTCAAGCAGGCTGCCTTAGAGATTTGTACTTATGTATAAACTTAGTGTAAAATGAAGGTAATATTAATTACCATTTTAAAACTAATCATTTCATTAGACAACGGTTTTAGAAAAATTTTAACGAAAAAAACAAACAAAAATAACCTTACGATAGATGAGATTTATAGTAGGAGTTATAGAGTTAGAATTCGTAGTCCTTTGGTCGAAGGTAAAATTACTTAAATCATTAAACATATCATAGATTCCAGAAATTTGGAATCCTCATTTTTTGAAATTATCGGTTGTTGAAATAAAAAAATTCTGTGAAGTAATGGATTGTTTTCATCAAATTGTCATTAGGAATTTGCATTTGAATAAAATATTTTCCAATTGTTAGATTAATTAAGAAATATTTAAATTTCTTAGCTTCAATTACATCAAGTAATGATGTCCCAAATAGTTGACGGGATACACATTTCTGAGAAATAGGAAACGGTTTATAAAATGTTATGCTTATTTTGATAACAAAAATCATAATGTAAGTTAGTGCGTGTCAAGTCAAAAAACTTTTTCACAAATTATTTAGAATAGACTGATTGTAACAAGTAGTAGAATCCTGTACACCTGTTTATTCCTATTAGGTACTCGTCAGTAGAGTGCACCTTCATCTCAATGTTGATTTTCACATAAAGACTTGATCTCGTTACCTTTCGCTTCAAGCTCTAACGTGTTATTCACTGAGCTACTGAGTCCAGGATAGCCATTAAATAAATTTTATAATTGTCATGAGAAAAAAATATCTGTAAATATTTGACTTTTGGGTTGTTCGACAAATCATTTGCCTGTTCGTATAAAACAATGTAAAATAAGAAAGTGGTTTTCCTATTCCTGGTCAGGTCTAATTCAAATTACCGTTTCATAGCTAATCTAGCGTTCAATAACCAGAATCCTTTTGTCACGGTTCTTGATAATAAAAAATATATGACGCTCACTAATGTAATGCTTTTAAACTCATGTTGTCTTTTGTATGTTGCATAAATCGAATTATAGAGATTACTAAACAAAGTCTAGAATACAGTGTTTAACATAGAAACGACTGATCGTAAAATATATACATGGGAACTTTTGTGATACGTCTCAGTCCCTACCCGAATTTGTCTAACTTCTTAGCACCGATTCGGTACCGTATTTTTGCTAAGACCGTGTATTGAACACTATATAAACAGTACTTTATGCAATACCTTACGGAGATCATATCATTGTTAGATACTTATCTTTACTTAAATCCGTAATAAGGCTACTTAGATTATTGTAGACTTTCAACAAGGCCTTTTGAATTATAAAGTAATGCATCACATTTTGTAAAAATATCCTAAACCTTAGGAATCACATTTGTTATCAGCTTTTAAAAAATTCTACCTTGCGTCATTTACACAATTTTGACGTTTGTCTCTTATTTTGTAGCACAGTTTATAAATATTTTAATGGTTCATCAGTTTCTGTGAGATGATGACTAAATAATGTACTTAATTCGATTTGTAAATCTGAGATGTGCCATGATGATGTTCATTGATTTCCCATTTTATTTTCTGCATTTCTTTGAATAAGCTAATTATTATTCTTGCTATTTATATTTCAGCTTACAATCAGCCATGTCCTTTGTAACAAGTCAGTTAAGACTACTCTGGAATGGTCGGATGGTTCGTTTATTATTTGCCGATTTGTATGCGCAAGCTGAGCTAAACTTACCTGAGTTAAGTACATCGGACGGCCGTTCATCTAGCACAGGTCATCATTCTACGAATACAACTTGTACAAGTCAACATGGACCTGGCGCACCTTCTAAAGCGGAAAAACTTGCTGTGTTAGGGTTATTGCCACCTATTTCACGGATGGGCGGTAGTAGATCGGCTGGCTCTGATATTGATGGTTATGGGCATCGTGTACGTCATGGTCTTTCAAATTTTCTACGTCAAATATCCAATTCTTCAGCATATCGTGCTAGATTTCGAAATAAGAAAGAAATAACTAATAATTACATTCCAAATCTTTCCACTGGACGTTCAGATAGTCCTGGACCAAGTGATTTACCGAAATCCTTAAAAGCTGTGTGTATGCTTTATTGTTTTACTTCTGGAAGTTTGAAAGAAATTAGAAGCGCTATATTGGCAGGCAGGTTAAATGAACTGAATTCTTACTTTCTTATTAGATTACACTTCATTATTATTTTGTTTACCGAATTAAAAAAATGTTTTTACTATCGTCGTGTAATGGAGAATGTCGTTTAGCGACAAATTGGGAAGATTAGTTTAATGGTGAGAGCTTAAAACAAAATGTTACGTATTTCACATTCAAGCAAATATTCTATTGACTAAAAAGTAAGTTTTGTCAGCTAATCATCATCTGGTATTCCTTGAGTTGAAGCTTTTGGATAAGCTGATTTTCATGAACTATCATCACTCGAACACCTCACATTTATTCAAGTGATCAATCACTCATTCATTCATAATGGTAAATTTAGATTTTCGACTTTGAATTATCGGTAATGAGTAATGTATGAACCTGTTCTGATCATAGTTTACTATTTTAGTCCGAATCCACTGTCTGATAGATAAAATTTTGGGTTAAAAGTTTTGGGATTAGTCCCGTAAATGAACTACATGTTACAGTTTTTGTTACTGCTCAGTATTACAATCGACACGCTTACATGGCGGTAGTTTGAGCTTATAAAAATCGAGAAATTTCGCGATAGTGAAAAAAAACTAATCAAGATATCTTGTTACCGATCTCATTGGAGCAGAAATTTAGTTAATAAATCACATTAGGTATAGATTTAGATTATTTTGAGCTGACTTTGTTTAGAATGTATTGAAAGTATATTAGAAAACAATGTTATTTAGCTCACTTTTATTTCAACTATTTAGTGAAATAAATATGATCACTTAGCAAATTTTGCAATTTTTTAGGAGTTGGTCTAGAAAAAGCTTTAATCATGCTCAGTGTTTAATTCTTTGTAGCCGGGATAACATCAGCCAGTCAGTCAGTAACAACGTAGGACTTCGTACGTACGTAAGCACAGAGATACAATTTTCGATTCAAATCCCGTAGTGGTACAGGTAGTAAGAGTATAAGCAGTAATCTGAAACGTTAGGGTTTGAAGATGTTATTCAAAGAGTATAATCCAGTGAAATAAATTTGGAAAGAGAAAAAAGGAAGGGACATGAAGGATCCAGAAGATTAGAATTTGGCAGAACACAAAGAGTGGATGCACTTGCGCCATTGCAAACGGTTTTGAGCCATGTCATTCAGGGTCTCTAACCATCGGTTGCTATCATCTCGCCGTCCCCAACCAGGTAGTCTACACCTACCAATATGACTCAGTCTACTTGTTAGTGACTTCATGGACTTGTGCCATGTTTTGGTCTGACCGCCCCTAGGTTTCTTCCAATCTACTCCTATACAACAAAACATCGCACATCGAGGCAGTCGGTCGTTGGGCACACGTAACACATGTCCCAGCCATTTCAACTGATGAAGTTTCACTGCGTCATCAATTGATTTGCTATCTTTACTAAAACTCATGTTTTACATCAACTGAGCTTCAGTCAGTGGGAGAGTAGGCAGAGACGACGAAGAGGCAACGACGAGTGTCCCTATCTTTTCGGATCTTTACTGTTCCGTTTATTTGGACAGCGCTTATATGACTGTCTACTGGGATCCACTCTAAGAGAGCTAGTTCTGCCCTAGGATTCAATGCTATACCTACGCCGGCGAGGCCACGGGAAGCAGAATCAGGGCTTCCAGATACACGAAGTGTGAATCGAGTCGGTTCTTTATTTTGGCATGGTGAGGTCAAATGAATGACGCTACTCGGATCCTGTATGCGTGTTTGGGAGACGCAGCACACATCGATGGCGCGGGATTCTAAAGTCTTAGCTAAGGAAGCCTGCTGTCCTATTTGGCACAGTGTTCGGACGTTAAAAGCTCCTACGTGTAGTTTAGAGCGTGGTTTCAGGAGACCAGGAATAACGTTCCGCGTACTCGAATCGTTTGCCGTAGTGGTGCGAGGTGATAAAGAGACGTGAGGAGGGTTAGTCATGGAGATAAGAAAGGTATTAGGAGGTGTTGAAAGGATTTGAATGTGACCAACTTGGTCTCGTGTGCTGTTACGGGTATGAGGGCAGCATTGCTGCAGATGCTGGTTGTCTGAGGGAAACACCTTGCTGCTGTCACACTCCTCTACAGTCAGCAGTACGACTTTGCCCTCAGACCTTGAGTTGCTGCTTTTAGTCTTACCGTTCTCCAATCGACCTGCCTGGCATGATAGGACCTACAGGAACATATGTTCCAGCCAATATAGCTCGGTCGGTTCATCACGATAGTCAAGCTCGACCACCGCGTAGCAGCTACGGTCGGGGTCAGGATAACATAAATTTCTAGGTCAATATTCTAGTAGCATATCTCCTCGGATCATGATACACATGTGTTAGATATCCTAAGTTATGGTCTTAAGCTAGTTGTCTGTTATGAAAATCCTACTAGTGTTACAGCCGCGACCGTAGTGGTCGGGATTTCCTATCTTAGTTACTCTATAGAGTTATATTATCTGGAACACTTGTTCCTTTAGGTCTTACCATGCAAAGGAAGTCGGTTGAAGAACAGTAAGTCTAAAAACAGAAAACTCATGTTCCTAGTCCCGAGTCATACTGCCGACTGTACCACAGTGTAACAGCAATAAGGGGTTTCCTCCTGGCAAACAGCATCTACAGGGACGCTGCAAGCGGAAGGGGTTAGAAAAGTTTGATTCTAGAAATTTTATACCTCACCTTGCCTCATGGAATAACGTCTCCAGTAGCAAGGCTTTTTTAAACACGAAGTAAACACATTGTATACTCGCCGCCAAAAGACAGTGCCTTGTCCTTCTTAAGAATTTCCCCCTTCGATCCTGTGGTCACACGTTCGCGTCACCGATACCATCACTAACCCAGTTTCCTTTTCAGATTTCTCATGAGGCAATATCCTTCCTAACATCACTCGAGATCGTCTTGTTCACACTCAAATCCCTACCTCACCGCTTGATAACTGTCCCATTCTCACGACTAGCCCTTATCCACGGACCATCGATGCTAATGGTATGAGCTCACGGAATGTTATTTTTGTCTCCTGAAACCCACGCTCCAAGCTACAAGTTGGAGCGTTTGATTTTCAAAACTTGTGTCAAATAGGACGACAGACTTCTTAAGCTCAGACGCATCCATTTTTTCTCATACCCTGGATTCTGTAATTCTAAATTACCGTACAAATTTTTATTATTTTCCGATTAATTTATATTTTTTTCTTGAATCATATCTTCTCTGCCTAATCTTATTTTACTGTCAATAATCATGTTACTACCTTTACTACTCTGAGATTTGCTTTTAAAATTTCATTTCACTGTGCTAGTGGGGTGTGGCAACTTGAACCCATACACATATGTACCAAGTTCTACGTTGTGCATGACTGACTAACCGAGATGTTACGATCGTGTAGTTATAATTAATAAATTGTGTAATGTTTCCACTCAGATTACTATTTAGGGAATACATTAGAAATTATTCATTTATCTGGACATCTATTTTTCGTTTCCTCAAAAAAATCTACTAAGTTGATTAGTTGAGTGTTTCCTTCATCAACTTTCAGAGTATTTATTGAGGAACTGGACAGTTTTTGTTTATTTACAAGATGAATTTTCATCAGGATTCTTTTGTCATGTCTCTTCTTCGATTTATCTGTCCTAGCATAACTTATTATTTTATTGTGTTTCAATAACTAACAATCACTACAGGTTTATCATTAGGTGATTTATTACCTCGTATGTGGCGTTTAATTTCTTGCTGTGGATCTGTACGTGATTGGGCTCATGTGATTATGAATTCACAATCAGTTTACCATTTAGAACCACATGAATCTCATTTGATGCAAATATTTGCTTCAGCTACAAGCAATTTGTTGAGGTATGTTGTCTACTTTTATATATAATACCGGTTTTTACTTAACTGAATATAAGTTATTAAGCCAAGTGCACGTTCATATATTCAGCTGCTGTCGACACTTTGTGAACATGATATTACTGTGGCTTCAGATCTGAAAAAAGTCGAGCGCGATGTAAACTTGTACTCGAATATTTGAAGGTCATTAGTGAATTTCTAAGCAATTCAGTGGATTATTTATAATTGTTAAATTTAAATTGGTCAGAGTTATCTTCAACATTAAAACATTCTATATTCATTCATACATTCTCTAAAGTGACGGTTGATATAAAACAAAATACAAACCGGTTTATGTAACGAAGACCATTTGACATCGACTCGCTTTTGTCACAATATGTGGTTAAATCATATTGATATTTTGAGGCACTTCTACGAAAAGTTGGACTAAAAATTTAGCGAACAATATTTATTTATCTGTTTTTATAATCTGATTGTTTCACTCAATACGATTGACTGTATTCAAAATATTTTACGTTGAATTGCGACTTCAATTTAGTTTTCGAAAACCAGGGGACTACTGTAAATCAGTTACACTTATGCTAAATTTAATGTCCTTCTAGTTGAATGTGTGCTCTTTTTTAAACCTCTGAAAAATAAAAAGTCATCATAATTGTTGCGTGTAAACTTATGGCAGTTTATTTCATGTTGACAATATCCTCTCATATTCGAATTGCTCATTCCTGTGTGAACTAGTTGGTACGCACTTGATATGACGGAATATTATTTGTTCTATATGACAAGTGCGAATTCTGGTTCAATGTGAAAATTTTATTCCCTATATTAATTCAAGTTAAATATATTTATTGCGTGTTTTTAGAGTAACTCTATGTATTCACCCTCACCTGTGGTACCACAAAGTGTGTATGAAATTTGGCATATAAATGATTGTATTGTGGTCTGAGAGTGATGTGATTTGGTACTTCTTGTCGTCGGGTCTTCGAGTTAATAAACCTTCATTGCATTAATATTTCATGATCCCACTTTACGTCGTTGGAATTGTACTGATTTCTCTGTATAAATGGTAGGGTCGATTAATTGCAGTTTTTCCCGATTTTCAAGTAAAAGCAGTAAAACTGTGGTCTCAACAGAAGCGATACGTACATAACAGTGACGATAGAGCCTATTTTTCAGTTATAACAGTGGGGATTCCGCAATATAACAGCATTGTTTAATGGATTAACGATTACAAGACTAAAAATTTCTACAGCGTTCAGTTAATTCTTCAAATATTATCAATTCACAATAAAAATTGTTTTTAATTCTTTAAAATTATTTATAAATAATTAAACTTTAAAAAAATATGCTTCTTTTTCTTGTGAAAAGTAGATAAATTGATTAGTACATTGTATAATTTACTGTATACTTTTCTTTGTAGCATATTAGATGATGCCGAGTTATTTGAATTGAAAAAATCGTTTACAATTGACGAATTATGTTCAATGGGTTCATTTTTTAATCATTTAATTTATGAATCAGTCATTATGGTACCAGATCGTAAGTGTCAATTATCTTTCATTAATGTGACTGTTTGATCAAGTGCTATTATCTACTCTATTAATAAGGTAAATTTTATTTGATTTCACTAAACAGAAGTAAATTAAATGTATCATTCGGCAAAATACCAAAGTAATTCAAATGAGATCAAATTTACAAGATAATACATCCCTCTATTAATTCACAATAACTATATGTTCATCACGTAGGTAATCGAAGTTGACAATTGTTAATTGTCTATATCATATCGGTTTACAGATAGAGTTGTAAACAGTGAAATTGTAAAGCCGTTGTGCAGTAATGCATCAGACAAAATGTTCCATAACCTTTTTATGTAAATAAGATCGTCAGAAAGAGAACATTAGTACTGGTGAAATTGGAAAGCAAAAGTCTTGAAATTCGGTGAAGGATAAAGGATGAATAGATTTGCACCATTTCGGTTGACAGAGGTTCACTTCCTGATTGACTGGTTTACTGTAATTGCCTAAAAATTTCTGGTTAGATTCACTCGGTGATACTGTGGTGTGGGTTACTTATATCCACACAGGTAGTATATGAAGGTGGTCAGACATAGAATGTATTTCAGTAGAAGGTCGATGAGGAAGGAACGAGAACGGAACGCAATTCGTGTGAAAACACATGAACAATGAAATCTGAGACAATGGATTGATGTTTGCAACAGGAACAGTTAAGTTTGGGATGACGGATTGATGTTTTGCAAATTAACGATTTACTATATGGTTCTCAGATTTTATTGAGATGCTGTGTAATTTCGTGTCAAATAAATTCGATTATTTCCACTGGTGTTCTTGTTCACTACAATACTACTGGGTACTAGGATTATTTATAAAGTAAATACTCATAAACAAATACTAGTGACCATCTCATGATTGCCAAATTCAAATACCATGTGTTGTAGATTCTCAAATCGTTACTCAATGTTCGAAATATCTTACATCTTATGCACATCGCTTGACAGAACTATGATGTTTGAGTATCCTCAGTTAAGTAATGGATTCTTGGATTAAGGTAATCAGATTCATCTCCGTCAACATGTTTGTACTAAAATTGTGTAAGGATGGTATAAAAATTTACATCATGACACAAGAAATTCGAACGTGCTTTCTAAGCAAAACTCGAGAAATAATGTTTAGTTTCATTAAAATCATGCGACAATCTAAGTTAGATCACCAGTAAAAATCTGGGGGCACTGGACGACTACTTTGTTCTGGTATGGGACTTTTCAGCATTGCACATCCACAGTCCTTCACTCGGTAATCGAACCTAGGACCCTCGGTGTCTCATGTAAACCCCTAACCTCTAGATCACTAGGCCGGTATCCAACAGTGTTAATGACTAACCTTAGTCAATCCATGACCATCTCCCATCGCCTTTTTTTTTGGGGGGGGGGGAACTACCTCACACCCGGCACGGATTAGCGTCGCTAGTCACGACTTCTCACCAGGACTCCGGAAATTTCCTCTCGAATCTAGTCGCTGGTGAGCACACGATAATGTTCACTATGGGGTCATGGAGACTAAACTTCCTAAGTTCGGTCCCCTCGTTGGAGGTCATGGTTGTGCACCGCCGAACGGGACGGTGATCCAGTGCTTACAGGTTTTCAATGATAGTCAGTTCATGATTTCAGTGAAATTCAACAATTTTTATTGTTGAGACCGTTAGTATTTCTTAAGTTAACTAAATGCTTCTTCAATGTTGTTTTCTAAAATATTTTTTATGAGAATGTCAAGGGTGATAACTAACTATGAAAATAAACAATTTGTTCCATTTTGTTGTATGTATGTTTATTCTTAGTTTGTAAGTTATAACAAATAGGTTAGTGAAATTTAACGAAGTGATTTTGCGCTATGAATTAATTTTATAAGAACTTTCGTTTAATGTTTTATTAGTTAGTACCCTTGACTGTCTGTCACAGTTGCTAGTTCGAACCTCACTTCACCTGCTACTATTCTGATGATATTTGACTATTACAATCTTTTTCACATAAAACGTGGAGCGATAATTTAGTGGTTAAGTCTTCCAACTTTCATCCATTAAGTCACACATTCGAACCTCACTGTGCCTTTTTCATTTGGACAACCAAGTAGTATCATTAGTTCATCATACCAAAGTGCATAGTGGATTAGTTAATTTAATCAAGAAAAGTCGATTACACAATAAAATTGTTATCAGCTCTTTAAAAAAGCCATGTAATCAGGTTCAATTGTTAGTAACAACTTTAACGATACTCACTGTAGCCTGTGCAGGAAAGGTGTGCAGACTAAATATATTAAAAATAAAATAGTTAATTTCAATAAATACTTTGATGTAATTAACATAATAACAATAATAATAATAACTATTATTATTATTTTTATACCTTTCCATTTACATAAATTCTACTTATGTTTTAATAAAATTGTCTTGTCTTTCTCCACTCCTATAAAAGCAAATCAACTTAAATTATGGAGTCCGTCTTGTAAAGATGATAATAAATTGAATAAAACCAATGAATCAGTTGCAATGCATGATAAAAATAATAAGTCTGCTATTCAATCAAACAGTTCATCTACTGTTATGCCTAATTTATTTACAATTTGTTTACGTTTATTATCTGTAATCTATGAACGTGATAGTAGACATTTATTTACACCACCGGATTTTTGGTTAATATCGTAAGTTACTTTGTATAATCTGTTATACGCTTTTTTGTTGTTGAAAAACTGCATGTACTTCACATTTATTCATAATATAATCCTTACTTTGTATATTTAACGTGTGAATATGATTATACAGGTGTATATTTGTTATTGAAATCACGAATCGACCCAAGTTACACGATAATTAAAAATTTGAAAGCATTAGATAAGTGTCTCGTCATAGTTTGGAATTTCTCAGCAGTGCACATGTGCGACCCCGCATCTGGGATTCGAACCCAAAACATTTGGTCTCGGGCATGAACGCTCAACTTCCAGACCACTTGGCGGGAATCCAATGGTCTATCAGTCTTCTATTTATTGGTGAATTACTTATTATCAACAAATTATCACAGTTAGAATATCAACCAACTTTTGATTTATACATGATCTTGAATTGCACAAGTTGTTAATCAGCAAGAGATTAGTTGGGCTAATTACACTCTATATTCTGATGGAAAACACCACGGTTTCTTGGAATTTATTAAAATATGCTTCATTTAAAACGTATCACCGTAAATTATGTGAGTTTTAATAAAAATTACATCAGTTTGCTAGTTGTCATTGTGCCGTGGATGTTTTGACTAACACAATTTAATTTTACTAAAATGAATGAAGTTTTCCTCTTAAGCAAGTATAATATTTTTATCTGATCATTTTGTTTCTACTATAGTACAGTAAATCTTGTTTACAGATAGTTATGACCTAAGTGTTTTGTGTAACGTTTGTATCTTTTAAACCTAAAATATCAGATTAACTACTTTTTTGTGTGTTATTTAAGGTTTGTTGTAAAGACAGAAAAATGGGGAAAAAGAATCTTAATTTTTCTTGTTTATTTTTATTATAACACTGATAACTTCTATCATCATTTACATTTTCTTTATTTTCTCCTTTCTTAATTTCGGGTCATTTTCGTTGAAATCACACCTGATAAATTAAAATTTTTGTTGAAATCAGAAACCTCAAAGTTTCAGCTTTTCTAGCAGATCTACGGAAACCGAAACCACATGCGACGTTTCTGCTCAAGCATATCCCGCATATCATTCCGCACAAAGAAGTATGTCATGTTATTTAAATGTTAATGAATGAATTTTTTCCTAAGCGTGTTATTCTTTTTCGAGATTTTGTACGCGAAGACAAAGCATCACTGGGGATACATACTCGTACAAATTGGCTTACAGATGATGGTCCAGTTGGTGCTGTCATCACAGTTCATAGAAATCGTATTGTTGAAGTAAGTTTTGATGCATTATTATTATCATCGATATGTAGATAAAAGTATATTGTGAAGTAGTTGTGACGTAACTATGTTACTAATCCACTTTGCTTCACTTTTAGGACGGTTATCAACAGTTGGCAAATTTAACTTCGTCTCAGTTACGTATGAAGATACGTGTACAGTTTGTAAACGAAATGGTATGTTTGAACTAAGAGATAAATCATTTTATGTAGTTGTGGTAATGCTTAACGTTTTTGCTGTATAATTCTCGGTGTATGTTACATTTGATAATTAAAAAGTAGACTTTCACGAGAGGCTATACAACTTATGTGCCTAATGTTTTCTGAGGTAGATAACATCAATTTGAATGTAATGCTTTTATTCAGGAATAAATGAACTGAAACACAAAAAAACAGAGCTACCATATACACATGGATTTGGAAAATCAAGACTCAACTTTCTGAAAGATTGATCCGTGTTCAAAAAGTGTTGTATTATTGAGTTTTAATCATAGTCATTTGAAATGTGAATGGCAGTCTTCCAAAAGTAGTTTGATTTCTTCTTTTTTGGTCTCTGAAGTGTTTCCCACACATTTACAGAGGACAGAAATGTATATACGTATTTATCTATCTTTTTTTGGACAATTCACCATGTACTTTTGTTGTAGAATAACTCTGTGCATATTGTAGCAAAAAATGACTGGCATACAGTAAAATTAGGAAAAGTGAAAATAACTAATGAAATGTCAACAGAGGTTGTTACGAAAATATGGATTAGAAAAAAAATATTATCGTTGTTATTCCTACTTTGAGAAACTATCATTTATTAATGAAAAAGAATTAGATAATCTGATGTCGTCCTGATAAACTATATTAAGGACAAATAAATCAGCAATTAGTAGACTGTAACCTCTAAACTGTTCAGCATACTAGGAAAATTATACGATTCTGAACTTGATTGAATAATGGTAGGTCTGATTATTTAGGAGTTTGTTCGTTAGGTGAACGGGTATCAATGACAATTTTCTCACCTCTTTACTTATTTAATGTGTACGTTAATTTCAATTTTATGATTCAGTCGTTCATTGTTATTTTAATGTGTAGGGTTTAGATGAAGTTGGTATTGATTTAGACGGTGTGTTTAAAGAATTCTTAGAAGAAACTCTTCGTCGTGTATTCGACCCTAGTTTAAATTTATTTCGTGTGACTAATGACCAGCGTTTATATCCGTCACCTACTTCACATTTACAAGAAAGTCATTTACAGCTCTTCGAATTTTTGGGTAAAATGCTTGCCAAAGCTGTTTATGAGGTTAGTGATTTTTATATCCAATCTGTGTACTATCTAATGCTGATAGTGAATCGTGATTTTTTTAAAGAATTCAAATTAATATCCGTTTAATCAGCTTTGGTTCACACTTTTTATATTAGGTCTAGTGCTACTACCAGTTAGGTTGGGGTTCTAACATACATAAACTTAAAGTATCATTAACCTCTCTTAAATAATTATTTAGTCTGGAGTAAAGACAGATTATACTTGGGTCAGATAAGCACCTGAATGATGCATTGTTTTACTTCTGAGTTATTCATATAGAATTAATATCGAAAACTCTTCATGTATAGGTAACTTTACTAAGACCGTTTGTCACTTGTTATATTATTCTAATAATGCAACATAAAATCACCAGTATGTTATCTAAAGTTCCATGTTTATATCACTGGTACTGATAGAGTAAGAACTATATAAATCAAAACAGAAGTGTTTGAGACTAAAGTCAAATTATTCTTACAAACTTTTTAACTATTATTTCATACTGATTCGGAAAAATTTCCGCAGAGTTCTAAGTATGATAGCCAGTGCATTCGTATATCTATTTTTTTATTACTCCTACATGTCTTTGTAGCTTTATTTCTCATTTAAATGAACGCTAGAAAAATAATCGAGAATAAATACATCTTAGTGATACGCATATATTGATTTTTCAGACAATAATCTATATATTTTTATCTCATGAGTGATGATACTGTTCTATTTGATCAACCACGTTTAAGTAATGAAAAAAGCTGCGGTGTAAAACGTATACAGTCAATGTCAGTTTCAACTTGGTATTTCTAGGTACATACAGGGCTTATTTTTGTAGATCTGTTTTTGTTGGAATCCGAATAAATCAAGTAAACGTTTGTCTAACTGAATAATCAGTAATGTCGTGAATAATTCAAGTTCTATGTGCCACAAAGGGACTATTGAAATTGTGTAATTATCTAATACCTTGTCGTAATGTTCAAAAGTAATTGAAGTGAACATGTAGGTTGTATAACTGTGTCGAAACTAAAATAAGAGCAAACAACATGGAAGCCGTTGCGTTTAAACAAGGATTGAATAATCGCACAGAATTGTGGATAACTGCTTCAAGGATTGAAAGAAATTGACTATAATGATAACTACAATAAATGTTAAAACCATATGTATGTAAACATACGTGTAGAAGTTGTTAGGAATACGACTGTTTACTCAATGTTAATAAGTAGCATAAAACAATTCACAAAAGAGCCGAAGAGAAGTGAATGAGGCGAGAGAACGTAAAACAAACTTAACACATATGGTTATTCATTGTACACATATATTCTCATTCTGGTCATCAGAGTTACATTTATCTGTCAATCATAAACAAATGGACACATTGTCGTGGAAACACATGTAGCTAGTTTTTAAGATTTTATTCTAATTGTTACGTAATTATGACATTGATAAGTTATCGCACTTTTTATAAACAGTGAACAGTACAGAATTCACAGTTTTCAAGTTACTTGAATCATGTCGTTGAATGGTATTTACTTTGCCGTAGAAGTAGTAATAATAATAGAATAATCAAATGTTTTATGTATTATGAAGCCGTGGCCAGTAGAATTCAACCGCGTCTGCTGTGAAGCGGTTACTGATTGAAGACAATGGTGGACGGTCGCTCAATATCGTGGATTGGTTGAATTTAGACGTTAACACCGTTAGATGCCGGCTCACTGGTCTAGAGGTTAAGCGTTCGCGCGCGAGACAGGAGGTCCTAGGATGGGGTCGCAGGATCGTGGACTGGCATTCCTGAGGAGTCCCATAGTAGGACGAAACGGCCGTCCAGTACTTTCAAGTTATCAGTGGTGGCCTAACATTGGCCCATTCATGATAACAATCTAAACTGAACATTCTTCACAACTTTATACTGATTATTATAGATTAACTAATTTTTATAATTTCTAGAACACTTCAGTTATCATTCGTTTGTTTTTATACTTTTCTTAGTGTATTGTTGTGGATGTACCATTTGCAAATTTCTTTTTAACTCAATTACTTGGTCGTGAAAAAGCTGGATGTTACAGTTTTCTCGATGAATTAGCCACATTAGATAAAGAATTATACAAAAGTTTAAGTTATATTAAAGTTAGTTGAATTCTCTTAATTAATTTTTATAGTTTAAATTGTCTCACAAATATAACTCTAAAATAATTTACATAATATCCTCCACGTTATTACTTTAAAAACATTAAACGGTTTGTTTATTTATTATTTATTTGAACGCATAATAAGTGGTAAAGGGGGCACCAAATACATATTCACCACACAATAACAACGTGGTTGTGAAGAGGTACAGAACAAACGATGAGTATAGTAAAAAGAAGAGCAACAATGAACACAAATTAATGTATGAGAATGAAATAATAATAATAATAAGGAGAGAAGTAGTCCAATTAGGAAAACTACAACTATAAATTGTTCTTTCAGTTAATTAAGTCACGTCCACTTTTATGTAGAAAGTAGAAAAAAAGCTACAGCAGGATCGCCACTAGCTTCTATTCTGAGCACACCAAAATGCCCTGGTATGGCCGAGAGTGGGGCGGGCACGTCTTCTCTCTCGAAATGCTCTCATACGGCCACGCGTATACAGTCTCTACCAAGGAAGTCCTACTCATTGTCTTCTCATGGCGGGGTTGTTGTTTAAGAAAAGCGGATATCCGGCTCTTTAACCGGATCCCAAACCAACGGTGCATATGGGCTCCAGTATCCTTAGGGAACAAATGGCGTATGAACCAATCTTGGTCACCAACTACCATGGGACTGCGTCTCCTCACGATGCTCCACTGCCTTGCGGGTTAGACTTTTAGGTCAAAGGTTCGGGGTGTGGCCCCCTAAGAAAACCACCTGCTTCGGTCTGGGCACCTGGGAAGTATCACAGTCCACACACAGGTATAATGGTAATAAAAATGACGGTATTTACTGAAAACTATTCTCGCTTTGATTTACAGTCAAACAATTCACATAATAGTAATAATATTAATATTTACTACGTTATTTATCCACTCTCTTTTATTCCCACTTTATGTATCCTTATTTTTCGACTTATACAGCAGCTCGCCTATATTGGAAACTTGGTTCTATCTGAGCGTTCTCGAGTCATTGCCTGGTTGAAAATTGTATGCTATCACCTAATACGAATACTGAAGCAGGTTTTCTGAAACCACGTGCACCATTCAAACTGACTGCCTTCAACGTTCGCACTACAGATAGGGCTGGCTATGTCTTTGGAAAGTCTTAATATCGACGTTTGTAGTCTATCCGAGACCCGTATTGAAGACTCTGGTGAAGTACTACAAATTCGATCTCCACCTATCGCTTCAAAAGGCTTGTTTGACGTGCGCTTATCCGGGGACCCTGTGGCACCTTCGTCTGACCTTGCTGGCGTTGGTGTCGCACTAAGCGCTAGACCTGAGGCAGCACTAATTTAGTGGACCCCCAATAACGATCGGTTATGTGCTGTTAGATTAGAAAGTTCCATCAAAGTGAGACGAAATCGGTGTAAGAAACGATGTCTTTTCGTCATCTCCGCCTATGCCCCGACAGGTTGCAGCCCGGATGTAATCAAGGATGAATTCTACCACCAGTTAACTGTTCTCCAGAAAGTACGTTCGAAAGATATTGTAGTACTAGCCGGAGACTTGGATGCTCAGGTCGGGCGTCTAGGCACAGAAGAGAGTCGTCTAGGTGGCCGATGGAGACTTGTTGGTCGCAGGACAGATAACCTGGAACGGCCACTGCCACTGTGCACAGGCCACAATCTGTTTCTGGCTAGCACTAACTTTCGGCACAGTCATCGCTGATATGCCACCTAGTGTCCTCCCTCTGCATCTCAAGCCTGGATTAAGATTGATCACATCACGATCAGCTACCGCTGGCGTGGTTGTGTACAAGACTGCCGCTCCTTTTGGAGTACCTATCTGGACTCTGACCATGCTTTGGTCTGCGCCAATCTTACCTTACTTTTCAGTAGCCAACGAAGTGACCACCACCAACAGATTGATGTTAGCAAGCTGGTTGCAACTTCTGTTTCAAGTAAGTATCGAACCGAGCTAGCCTCTAGACTAGCTACCACTCCACCGAAAAGTATAGATGAGCATTGGTTGCAACTGCATGACGCCATGAAAATGGCGGGTACAGTCAGTTGTGGGTTCGCGAAACGTCCCGCTTATAAGCACTGGGTTTCCTCAGGCTCCTTACAACTCATTGAAGCCCGTTGGTCTACGTACTGAAATTGGGCAAAGCTTGCGTAAAGACCGGAAAGCCTGGTAGTGGGAGCGTGCTAATGAGCTGGAAGCAGCAGCTACATCTGGTAATTACCGGAAGCTCTTTCAACTCATCCGAGCCAGTGGCAGGAAGAAGTCTGGTGTGAGCGAAACAATCTGTAAGGATGACGGGATGCCAATCACTAACATCCATCGACGTCTTGGACGGTGGGCAGAATTTTTCGAAGGGCAGTTCAACTGGCCTGCTGCTCCGGCAACATCGGTCAGACTGTCCTGCCCTCCATGGCCGGTGACGACTGATCCACCAAATGAAGCGGAAGTCTTCAAGGAACTTCAACCCTTGAAGCGCTACAAATCACCTGACCTACCTCCGTCTCTTCTTAAAGATGGTTGTGACTTTCTGACTAAGGAACTGACGACGTCGTTTACAAAGGTCTGGGAACTAAAGAGTGTACCAACGTCATGGAATCAGTCGATAGTTATCTCTTGTGGTCTTTCACCTCGTTATGTGGATCAGTCGTCATCAGCCATAGAGGACAGCACAGTCTGATCGGTGTCTCCAGGGCAGCAGACTAATGAGTTGCTCCTCGAAACACTGCTCATCTTCCAAGAAGTCGGCAGATGTTATTGTTTACCATCCCATCAGCTTCACAGGTTTTTCACTCACAACAGACTTCTTGTTAGTGTTTTGGATGAGTTCGTTCCGGTCGAGGATGTATTTATCACATCTTCACCCTCCGCCAAATGTTAGAACACTGTCATACTTATCAAAGGCCAACAATCGTAATGTTTCTTGACATCAGGGCTGCCTTCGATTCGTTGGACAGGACTGTTCTCATGGATTGTCTATTGAAGAAGGGTGTGCCTGAAAAGTTTGTTAACATCTTAAAGGCTCTATATACAAACACCTCAGGCAGAGTGAGGGCATACAACTACCTTTCTCCATTGTTCCATTCGAACAGTGGGATTAGGCAGGGTTGCCCAATCTCACAATTTCTCTTCAACATTGCCATCGATGACATTCTGGAAACAGCTCTGATGGATGTAAGTAATGGTGGTGTGGATCTGTTGCCTGGAGAAAGACTTCTCGACCTTGAGTATGCGGATGATGATATTGTCTTACTGTGCGATAATGACCAAGGCATGCAATCCACACTTAGTCAGTTGGCAATCAGTGTCCGTAGGTATGGTATGTGGTTTGCACCTTCGAAGTGCAAAGTACTTCTACAAGACTGGCAGGATTCTAATCCTCTACTCACCCTGGATGGTGAGCAGATAGAAGTAGTCGAGAAGTTCGTGTATCTAGGTAGCTGCAGAAGTGCTGGTGGGGGTGTGAATGTTGAGATCAGTGCATATATAGTGAAATCCAGAGCGGCTTATGCCAATCTGGGCCACCTTTGGCGCCTTCGGGATGTCAGTCTGGCATTAAAAGTTTAGATCTACAACGCGTCGGTGAGAGCAGTTTCGCTCTATGCTTGCGAAACCTGACCTCTTCTAGTTGGAGAGGTTAGACGACTCTCTGTATTCAATCATCGTTGTCTACGAAGGATTGCTGACAGTCAGTGGCAACACCATGTTAGTAATGCAGAGGTTCGGCATCGTGTGTTCGGGCACAGAGACGATAGTGCAATTGGTGTCGCCATCTTGAAACATCGACTTCCGTGGCTTGGACATGTTCCACGAATGTCATTCCAGAGAATTTCACGTCGTGCATTATTTGCCGACTCTGGGACTGGTTGGAGAAAGCGGAGAGGTGGTCAGTATATGACATGGTGTCGTGGGATGAAAGAAAGCTGCAAAGGACTGGCTTCTGTTGGTCCTTCACGACTCCCTGGTTGGGGTCCGAGAGATGGTACAACACAGTGGTTAGAGACGTTATCAGATATGGCTCAGGATAGAAGCCAGTGGAGATCCTGCTGTAACGTTCTCTTACTTTTTTCATTAAAGGTTGTTTTATCTTCCTTAACTGAAGGATTTCTTCTGGTTATATATTTCCGTTTCCCCCATTAATATTATTATTATTATTTCTTACACTAATCTGGTCGTTATTCTTCCTCTTATTCTTTTTTTCTCTTACGCCTCTCACCATTTTCTCCCCATTCTCATTTTTTTGTGTGGCGCATATATATTGTGCCCCTTTGCACTAATATTTATGTGTTCAAATAAATAAATCTATTCTGAGCCATATTTGATAACGTCTCAAGCAACTGTGTTGCACCATCTCTAGGACACCAACGATGAAGTCGTGAAGGGCCAACATATACCAGTCTTGTACAGCGTTTTTTCATACCACGACACCATGTCATACACCGACCACCTCTCCACATTTCGCAAGTGGTCCCAGCGTCGACAAATAATGCACTGCGTGGAATTCTCTGGCATAACATTCTTAAGACATCTCCAAGCCACTGAAGTCGATGTTTCAAAATGATGACACCAATTGAATTATCGTTGCTGTATCCAAACACATGATGCCGAACCCCTACAATATGGTGGTGCGACCAGATTTCAACAATCCTTCGTAGACAACGATAAACCAACACGGAGAGTCATCTAATATCTACATTCAACATAATCTACCAATAAACTATCCTATAAAATGTTTTTTTCTCTAATATATGCTATTTTGTAAACATAATATGAAAAATTTGTATCCTGGGATCGATGGTCGAAACTTACTCTTTTTAATTCTGTTCTGCTATTTCGTTTGACTAAGAAATGTTACGATTCATTACATTAACCAACGTCCTGTACATTGATTATCATATAATGTCTGAAGTTTTGGAAAAGGTTGCTGATTTCATCATTACTGGACGATACAATACCTAACTTTAACTATCCTAATAATATTAGTGTCAGTCAGTCTATACTTTCCCATGTAGTTGTAGGTCAATAAACTTCCATACTTATATTAGCAATCTTTTCGCATTGTTTGCGGAACTCTCCACAATTTATCTTCACTTAACGTTAGGTAAGTCATTCAAACGAGCATCAAGCTTATATAAAACTTCTCAACACTATAAGCGAACACAGTATTGTAGCCTATCGGTGTGTTGGTTTCATTTAAAATCTCATGTGTAAAGTATATATTCGCAGACTAATGAAAACAATCGGTATCAAAACCCAACCGTCCTCACATGTAATGTTTCTTCAACCATCTTGTTTCTTAATGTCTAAATGAAAGCAAGCATACTCAGGTATTTTTACAGTATCGAAGCTGCTAAGTTGTAACAGATTTAGATATATTCAATAATCATTTAGCGACACGACATTTTGTTTTATTTCAAATACATTCATAACCGTGGAAAAGCGTCATCCACTTTCAGTATGCACAGAATTAATCGTAAGCTTTTTCCAACTTTTCTTGAAACAATACGTCTATTATATATGTATATAACTGACTTACATATGTTGAACATAAAAGATCATGTCTATCGTCACAGATGTTTAACACACTACAGTTAGTGTGATCTAATTAAATAAATCGACTATTAAAATTCTGAATTCGTTTTACCAATCTATGACTGTCAGTATGGTCATGACAAATTATTTAGTCATGAAACGCGTTGTATCATAAAAATTATCGAATAGATTGACTAACTATTTCGTAAATTGAGATTCGACATATTCGCTATAGTCTTTCTTGGTTGTGCATTCTTTTGTGTGTTAATGTGAGGCCATGGCTTAGTGGTGAAAAATTTTCCAGTGGGTAATCGATTGAAAATAAGTTGGAATCCTGTTGTAATCATTTTTATTTAAATAACTGAGTTATTATTAACCTTCACAGGAGCAGTCCGTTCCATTGGTGAATGGATCAACTTATAACTTGGTAATGGGTTACACTAACATTTTCAAAAGTCATTTATATTGTCAGTAATTTTTTGTACTTGATGTTTTTTCGTTATTCACAATCTAAATTGTATTTTTTCTCAGCATTATGATGGAGATGTTTCTGATCTGGAATTCACTTATTCTTATGCTGAAGATTGTCTAGGTCAAGTGATTATACATGATCTCTGTCCTGGTGGCCGTCAAATTTCTGTAACGAATGATGTCAAGTAATCTATTTCTTTATCCTTTTTTACGCTTAAGCATTTTCATGTTAAATGTGTATAAAGCATTGAAGTAAAGTGTTTATGTTTAGAATGTACACATCTTGTTCCCTAATGAGGTGCTTCTCAATTTGTGGTTTATAGCGGTAAATATTTACAACTTTTGAACGTTACGTAATAGTTGAAACAAACAACTTGTTGTCTATATGTCATATTATCCCTCCCTAATACCCTACTAAAAACGAGAGGTTTTAAGATTTCTGTCGGAATTGAATATAATGGTGATTGTTCCAAACTTTCCCGCTTTCATTATACTGTATATGTGTTAGTAGTCTACGTAACCTTAGACTTCGTCAATTCCCGATGCATCATATTCAACTAAATAATAATATATTCTTTATTTCCAAAGTCAATTACCATTATAGTTTACAATTTAATTAGTTGATTTATTGCACAAATTTAATTTCAAAGCGGTTTGTTAAATTGTTATTACACATTCTCAGTCAGTGGGAGTTTTTCTTTTTAGTTAAAATTATTGATTATATATTAAGGTGTTTCCTTCTTACTGAATGCTTCAAAGACAAGTTGATTTGCTGCTCACAGAAATTAACAACGACTAGTTACTTCAATAATATTATACTTAGTAAATCTACGTATGTTTTCACATTTAAAATTTAATTAACAAATGACATTATTTAAAATTTTGACCGTTGTGATCTTAGATAATGTATTCAATGTTCAAATGTCTTTTTTAAATTTCAATTATGCTTTTTTTGCATAAAGAATAAGTTACGTTCATAGCGTTGCTCACTTTCGAATGTATAAACAAATTAGAGCACAGACAGCTTCTTTTATACGGGGATTTTATTCTATACTAAATCCTGATTGGTTGGCTATGTTTTCTCCATCAGAATTACAAACACTTATCTCAGGTGATAGTAGTTCAATGGATATTGATGATTTAAAGTAAGTAAACAATAAATATTAGGTTTGTATTTTGATGAAATTTATCTTTGTAATCAGTCAATTAAACTTATCGTATGATGGGATTATATAAAATTGGATTGATCCTTATTATTATTATTATTATTACTATTATTGGCTTTATTCAATATTATATTTCTGGTACAATATAGAATTCTCAGCATAATGTGTTTCAGCATGTTTCCTTTTCTTATTTGTTGATCGATCCTCGAGATAAATATTGAGTGGTCGCCAGTTAGCGGTTAGCAGTTCGGGAATCGATATTTGAATAATATACATTCTTTTCGATGCATATTGCCAGCAACCATTGTATCTCTGATTTGGCTCTTTTGTAACTTCTACAACGAAATTTTGTAGACTTGTCACAAACGCTCCTGAATAGGTTATGCGACTAATGGGCATAATGATATGTTAAAACAAACAAGAAAACAGATAACTTGTTGAAATATCCAGATGGCATGAACAGGTAGCACAGATATTCAAACAGACCGCCTAGTTCATTTTATTGCTTGATTGATTATATTTATGCCTACATGTACACTTTTCTTGTGAATATTTATATTGATTTTGTACCTAAATGTTTAAAACGGATGACACTTTCACAAATTAAATAAAATAAACATCACTGCTTGGTGCACTTTAGATAGCCCACGAATTCCTTGGTATATCCGTGGATGAGGGTGCCACTGCATCCCCACTTGAAATGTTCTCATATGGCCATGTGTGGATAGCCTCCGTCAGGGTACTTCTACCCACTGCCTTCTCTTGGCGCGGTTGTTGTTTATGAAATGGAAAGCACAATAAGTGAATATCAGCGCTCAAACCGAGTTAGTGGATATGGAGGATCCATGTAGGGTAGTTGGAAAACCGTGATTCCAAGCCAGTGGTGCATATGGTCTCCAGGATTGTTAGGGGATCGAATTGAGTGTAGATCTGTTGTCAGTAATCGGTCACCATGGGACAGCATCACTTAACGTTTCTCTACTGCCTCGTGAATTAGCTGTTTAAGTGCTTGGGGAATGCCCCTCTGAGAAAACCCTGTACTTCGGTTTAGGCACCCATGTAGTATTCCAGCACATACACAAAGGTAATGATAACAACTTTGTGTAGTTCATATATATTTTGGTGTCTTTTTGCATCAATGTTTATGTGTTTGGATAATATATAATGCCTTCCGGATATAAATGGTTGAGTAATTTATTTTAAATGTATTTAGTCTGAAATCTCTTGGTATCGTTTTAAAGGACTTCTATTGTTCATAGTTCAGTTTACCAATAAACAGTTTCTACCTTGATATATAGACTTTCCTTTAATTTTGTAGACAACATACACGTTATTCGGGTGGATTTCACAGTAATCATCGTGTAATTCGGTGGTTATGGGATATTCTTAGGCGTGATTTCGACGATAGAGAACGTAGTTTATTTTTGAAGGTAAGTTGTTTTCGTTTATTTCTACTCCCTCACATACACAACTAGTTATTATTTCACTGTCCGTCTCACAATTCATATAATAATGTCAATCATGTCATAATCTTAATTTTTCTGACAAGAAACCGGTACAGTTTAATTTATAGTTAATGTGTTCTCCGTTTACACTTATTTGTGCCATTAATGATTTATTTAGTTGTGTTTAAATAGAAGTATGTCGGCAGTGGGACTTGCACTTTGATTGAAAAATTTATGGCGTATTGTATTACTAGCTTTAAAGCTGCTATCTAGAACCTTATTTATTTAATACATTTGTATGAATCTAATGTCACTTGTAGCCAAAGAACTCTTAAGTGGCATATATGTGCATGTTTTTGAATTTTCATACGCCATTATCCTTTGTTATATCGTACAACAAAGTCTACAATAACTAGTAACCAGTTAATAATAGATATATTATTTTTATATCCCAATGAGTAGAAAATTTGTATTTCTGACGTTTCGTGACTTAATGTAAGCTACTTCTTCAAAGCAAATGGGTAATATTATCTGTAGTAACCAGTTAGTTTACAGTAATATTTAATAAGTCACGTGGTTTGCAGGCGGTTGATTGTCTAATATGTTAGTGACTTAAGGCTCTGTGCACAATGTGTTTTCAATTCTGTTTAGTGTCTACTCATAATACATAGTTCATAATGTGTTTTTTCTTAGTGGGGTTTTTACATCCTTGGTTACGGCTTAATTCGTTCAGTCGAATAATCAAAGTTGTTCAACTGATACAATTAGTTATTTTTGTATAACTCGTAAATGTGCCGATTTAGTAATTGAATCGAAGGTTGATAGGTAGACAATCAACTGATACAGTTAAAAGTTATCTCACCAGTCAGCCATAATGTACTTGACCTGTTTCCTATAGACAATATATAAATAAATTTTTACATTTCATACTCCCTCAGTATTTAGTGAAATAAAGTATTTCATTTATTCTCTACGTAATAGAAATCAATTGTTTTCGTTTTTTCTACAGTTTGTTACCAGTTGTTCTAGGCCACCTCTTTTGGGGTTCGCTAATCTTGAACCACCATTTTGTATACGTTGTGTACATTATACTAATGAAGATCAAGTACGTTATTTTAAATTATTATCAAAATTACCTTGATGAATAAAGGCAAGTTAACGAAGATTACTTTATGTTTATGAGATTCTACGAATTATTATTGTTAGTTATTGATATAAACCAGTGATAGAGAGAATAACCAAACGACTAGGCCTCATCTTCTTTTCATGCTAAAACTGTCCATAATTAGTGATTTTATCTTGTTAACGTTAGAATGACAATTGATATTTTGTTAATAGAAATATTGAGAGAAGATAAAACTATAAGCTTAAAAACAAGTTGTAAAGTGTACTATGGACGTACAGAGGAGAAAGATGAGAATAGAAATTCTGTTTGTTAAAAAACTCATATTGTTAACTTAAAAATTTTAGCTCAAAAGTGAAAGTAGGAAAATTCGTGAGAGATGGGTTTCACAATGATGCATTTCACCTTCGACAATTTTTTCATAATCTACAACTGATGACGTCTAGATATTTACGTTCTTTATCTAATCGATGTATTTATTGTTAATGGATTTCTTGTTTATAGTTTTGAAATGAGAATAATCTCCGTTTTGGTAAATATTTTCTCATTTTTTTACTTTTGATTTCTACAGGATGTCGGTGATACTCTAGGATCAGTACTGAAAGGATTTCTGGGGGTTGTTGGTCGCCGTGAAGAAGTATCTCGCCTACCAACTGCGTCTACTTGTTTTAATCTTTTAAAGTTACCTAATTACTCGTCTCGTAGTGCATTGAAAGAAAAGTTAAGATATGCCATAAATAGTCATGCTGGATTTGAACTATCGTAGCGGAGAAATTTCTTGACAAGCTACAAATAATATGTACTTATTATTTTTATGATGGAACGCTGTAAATATATATTATGTTTAATATTTTCATCTCATTTGGTCCATTCTTTGATGATCAACATATTTTTTTGTCTAATTTCTCTTCGTTCTTTCTAATTTGAGTTATTCACATTTTCAATTCATGGTGCATAACTCAGTGTCATTAGACAATTATATTATAATACTATGATATGTTTGCTAGCACGTTTAAATGACTGCAAAGTTTGCAGACAGAGGCTTTGATTTTGCCATTCTGATAACCGCCAGAAAGTGCTCTTTTCTAATTGTTTTTATTCTTCATATACTTCCTTTCCCAAATAGAATGAAGGAATTGCTATTTAATTTACGACATTACTTTCATTCCTCGATGCTTTATTGTCCCCAGTGGGAAAAATCACTCAGTTCTCTAACAAGTACTTAAAAATACGCTGTCAAATAGAAATGGTAGTCATATTTCGAATTCACTTTTTAATATTCATCACTTGGAGTAAGTAATGTTCAACAGCGAGTTGGTCGGAAATGTGTATCAACCTAAGTTATCATATCACATCACTGCGGTAGAATAAGTAGGAGAAGTCAAAATCGTGATAGCACAAATGGCGTTAACGGTCACTAGACATTAAAGCACACGGCTCGAGAGAAGTGATTTTACGGTAATTAAAGGTGCCAGGTAATATTTAAGCTTACCAGTTCGGGGGAGGATGAAAGCTGGAGACACTTGCGGCACTAAATCTTGGCGTGGAGGAGGTTGCGGGACCCAACAAATCCCAGAAGTCAACTCTGCGACCCTAACCAATGTTCAACAAGCCTCGAGTAGACAGTCAGTGGTATCGTCGTCTAGTCCCATGTTTTCGTCTACCAATCCTCTCGTCCGATCTGTCACAGCAGATATTGCACATCGTAGTAGAAGGTAGTCTCACATATTCAATCGTTTCAAAGTTCAGTATATTTGCTTGATACTGTAGAGCAGGATTCGCTGTTAGTTTCTAGGTCTCGTCTTGACGTCTTTTGTGGTCGTAGTCTTGAACCGTAGATATTTTGTAGGTCGTTTTGCAGACGGAGTGAAGCAGACTGGGCCGCTGCATTGTATTCTTGACTGGCGGAATGCCGTTGACGTCGCCGAAATGAGGCATTAGTTGGACGGACCGAAATGAGTTTCCCTATTGTAAACTGAAATAATGCCAAATGCAAGAGTCGGTGAAATTTAATCATAGGAAGGGTTTTCAAAACTACTATCTTCATGATTAGCTAAAACATTGACGCAAACGAGTCTGAGGTTGTACTCATGGAGGTCAGGATTTTCATCAGTGCAAGCGGCATCGTATATAGTAGCCAATACTCTGTAAACTCTGTCTCATTTTTTTGCACTTCTTACTTTATTCTTCATACGTAGATTTTGTAGCCTGAATTGCTACAATCAGAGCGTAACATGATTTTGCAGAACAAAAAATCCTTCTCAACCTCGAAATTTCATGCTGCTTTAGGAGGACAATTTGATCATACTGTGAAAAATTCTAGATTGGGATCTGAGTGCTTCCTACAGTGGAATGAGTTCTGAATGAATCAGTTGGAAACTTTTCGCTTTGTACTTTGAAACCATACAGAGATTTTTGTCCAAATATTTTGTGGCTCGACCAGTAATACTACTTCGAATAGCCGGATCCTCTTTGTAGAACAAAAACATCAGTTCCATATAAGTGTCCTGGATTTTTTCAAGCATCTCGGTAGAGTTTGTAAACAATTTCTCTTCGTGAAACTAAAGACAGCTGTTACCGAGAAGGCTTTTCCTCTTATCACTTCTAGATTATGAATGCTGGCATAAAACGGTAGTGATACTTGCATTCATATTTTCTACTGTGACTAATTTGCTCCATTGTAGTTTCAAGTCATCTTTCTCTGGTACACCATAGATTATAATTTTCAGGATTCTGTGGTGAAAGGAATATAATACTTTACAGGATTTCTTCCCTTAGAGACTGCAAGGCATCACATTCAGCTTAAAAGTATAACAAGTATTCATGGTTTGACAACGCCTTAACCAGTAATACGTTTTGTAATCAGTCAAATAAGAAGACGGAAAAGGAGCTCGGAGATATATTTGAAAGTCTATTGATATATCGGGAAGCGTTAAGTCTAAGCTGACTAACGACCACCTATTAAAATTAATAAGGCCAGCATTAAATGCCGAACACGTACAGAACTATTGATCTCGTGTATATATTACCGTTACAAACATGTAATTACCAAGAGAACGGGATTGGTTTATTGGAACAAATCACTATTATAACCAATTGTAACAGTGATTGTTTTGCTGTGCTTGTTTGTTTAACTGTACTAAAGACATCCATTACTCCTCCATTGTTCTTCCGTTGACTGTGACGAGCGTACAAGCTCGCACGTTCACCCATTGATTCCACTTGTATTTCCTTTGGCACGATCTTGGTGTACTTTTGATACCACGAGATCGCCAACGAATAAACCTGATTACAATCTCCTTTCACCTTCTGATTTTCTGGTACGGGCTCGTCTTGTAGTGGTGATCACAGTCAAACGCGACTCGACGCCACACTACAAACTACTCAACAGTGTTTTCATTCATTATATTTGTAGGCTGTAGATTTTCTTATCGGTGACAGAAAATAACATGAAAATATTTTAAATTTCTCAAAATTAGTCTCGATATTTGCGTTAGTTTAGAAACCTATGATGTTTAATAAGGATATATTAGCTCTAAATAGTTGTATGCTCATGTTAGAACGTGATATCAGACTGGGCATATGACTGTACAACGCACCAATTCAATCCTGTCGATCACATTTTCTGGTGATCTGATTATGTCGAATGCCTTTTATTTGAATTTTTTGGCAAATAGTTTTTGAAAGACCTAAATACTTTGTATGGAATATGAGGAATTTTGATAGGAACTGAAGCACAGTGTAGGGTCAGTGAAATGTCACTAAGCCGTGGCCAAATCATCTGACAGTTGGGTCATTGAATATCGAGCAACTCGTCGATCCTCATCAAGATCAGGGACAACCAACGCCATCAGTTATTCGTATGCCATGGACTGACACATGCGGCAGTGGTCTCACTTTCGCTTGTATCTACTTTAACTAATATATTTCTGTAATAACGTCCTCTGTGTTGTACATTCTTCAGAGCATCTATGGTACCTTGATACGTCAATGGGGAAGTCCACGTAGGGTGCTGACCTCGAGGTGTGACTTCGACGTTAGCCAGTTTGTCACACCATTCACGTGTAAGTCAAGTAGGCCTCCAATCATTTTCGACATAGATCATCTACGTTGGTGTTCTACAATAGGCTCGAGTGATGTATCATTCTTGTTAGTCATTGCCTAATCCAGAAAAGACACGAAAGTTAGAGATTTGTGGCTAAGAAAGTTTGTTCGAAAAACTAACCTCTTTTACATAGCCAGCTTAGAGTTATTACTTCTCCATATATCGAAAGCCTATCAAATATAACTTCGAAATTCTTCGCTTCTTACTTTTCGTTCGAATGAGTTGCTATTCTCAGATTATAAAGTTGTTACCCAGGAATTATAAGTGCATCTTTCTTTTCAATTGAGAAGTTTGAGGTTTGAAATAAACCTACCGCTCAATATGATAAGTAGTGCTACCGTTATCTCGGTACCAGAGGATTGGGTAATTATGGCTTTCGATAATCTTTGAGCTTCCTTTTGTAAGCCTATTTTCAATGTGATATTGTAGATTAGTAGCTCACTGAGCTTTGTTTTTCCACCATTAGGTACTGAATAAAAATAGTCTCCCACTTGCAATACAACTCCATAATTATAATTATGTCCATGGTAGGACTCTAATTTATGGACGAGACAATCAGAAACGTTTAAGGAATTTCAAGGTCATGTCCATATATGGACAAAATCTGAACGACTAGGTCAACAGCTCTGTAGAACTTTCCTAATTTCAGCATTTCTGCATCCGTGGCACAGATATGCTCTTTTTCTTCTCGATTTAGAGAACTGGAAAACTAGTGAGTCACCGTCTCAACTGCAGTTGTATCCAAAAAGCAAAGGCAAGGTTTAGTTGTGATGACGTTAGATTCAATGAACTTGACAAGTATTGCTTCATGCACCTTGATCTGAGCCATATTGTGTGCATTATTCGTAGCGGTACTGCGAACCGATTAAATGTTTGGGAGGTACGTACTCGGAACCTATAGAATCAACGGTGTTTTAACCATTAGTATTTTACTCCACTTATCTTCTACGAAATCAATTAAAAAGCTGACACTTTAAGTCGAAATGAGTCCTATCGTTCTTTATAGTCTTAAAAACGAAGTGTTCCACAATCACAGTCTCTAATTGTTTTTGTTTTACAGAGACGTCTTAAGTGATCTTTAGTCTTTGTAAATACAACAAACGTAATTTCACTTAAGGCATGTGTCAAAGTACAAATAGATGTTTTAATGTAATTCTTTGTGCGACATCTATATATCTGCTGTTGTTTACTATTACTTTCCTTAACATTAGAAAGTTTGTCTTCTTATCTTGAATGCCCTCTTATACCTGTGTATAACCTTTCTTAAAGTTATCCCCAAGAAGAATAGTACTTCATCAATAAAAGGCTGGTTTTCGCATTCAACTCAGTCATGTATTAACAGCCGATCTATTGACATGTTGCCGTATTATCTTTAGTTAATATAACTAAGCTGATTGTTCTGAATTCCTTTTTGGAAAACATGAAAAACGGTCCCGTCCAGTTTGGAATTCCAGTGAATACAATCTGCAAATCCCTAGTCTTAAATGATATGGTCCTAAAAATGTACTTAGTTGCTCATTTACTTTTATTTCAGGAGATAATAATGTCTCAATGTAATTGATCAGAACCCGAAAAAAATATATTTCTACCTGCGAGGTCTTAAAGCGACATTTACTGACGTCACTAAAGGTTTGGATCTACTGCAGAATATTTCCGCTACACCAAACTCGCTAGATTACGATTAATCCGCTAAAGCCAGATCTTAGGCATTAGTCAAAGACGGCAAGCGCTTAGCCATGGAACGTTTCGTTATTTCCACCAAGGAAGAGACGTAACGGGTCACACTGATTGTAGTCATTGGTCGTTTCCACTAGATTATCAATAGCCGAACAATAGGACCGTATTATATAAACGTGAACTTTTGTGGAGATATATGAAACCCTGAGAATGTTGAAAGTAATACTTAATTAAAGTACAAGACTGTTAATACTTGGAAATAATCAAATCAATATCACGAGGATAACTATGAATTAATAATAGGCTAACTCGGTACAAGTAGAAGTTAGTGAAAATCGTTTGGTTTGTAAGAATAAGAATACTAGGCCCCCAAATGCCCTGGTACGGCCGAGAGTGGGGAGAGTCTGCTCTCCCTCTCGAAATGCTCTCACATAGCCACGCGTATACAGCCTCTGCCAGGGAAGTCCTACTCGCTGCCTTCTCGTGGCGGGGGTGTTGTTTACGAAAACGAGAGGACGAAAAGCGAATGTCCGGCGCTTTAACCGGATTCCAAACCAATGGTGCACATGGGCTCCAGTATCCTGCGGGAACAAATGGCGTATGAACCAATTGTTGGTCACCGGCTTCCATGGGACTGCATCTCCTTACGATGCTCCACTGCCTTGTGGAGCAGACCTTCAGGTCGAAGGCTCGGGGTGTGGCCCCCTAAGAAAACCACCTGCTTCGGTTTGGGCACCCGGGCAGTATCACAGCCCTCACACATATCGAATGAGATTTGTGTGGCGCATATGTATTTGGTGCCTCCTTGTACCAATGTCTATGTGTTAAAATAAATAAATAAGAATACTAGGCTTGACTCATAACTATCAATAGATTTGGTCGCAACGCTAAATATCGATAATATCTAATGGTTGCTCATTCAGTTAATCGATTTGGTACAACATTTAGGTAGGCTCATGTTCCCGCGCCATAGTGAGGGTAAGCTAGCATATTAAACAGCAAAGTAGTTGGGATATTTGTAGTACTAAAAATAGTGGAATTAAATAGAGACAATGGTAAAGAAAAAAGTATTGGATTCACAGTATAAAAATAATTTTGAAAATCAAGATCTAGAGGAAAATAAATAGCATATATACCTGCGTCACACCTGTGCCGGATTTTATGGTGCTGGTGACTGACGACTCCACAACTGATTCTTAGCCGTTCCTAGTAATGCACTCGGTGAGTTTAAGAAATAAATAATAACTAATGAGTTTAAACCTCACGGACACTATAATAGTTTGTAAATATCTATAGCGCTCACATTAATCCACTCAAATTCCTTAGGTATCGTTCATCATAATCCCATCTCATTGATCTCTTGTCCTAAATGGAGTCTATTCTCCAATCTTCTTGTCACTCATTATTTATTCTAATGTTATATTTCGTCGTCCAAATTCGATTGATATTATAGATCAGTTCTAAGAGTAAATATGCGTACAAATGTTGTTTTTGTTTACATATTCTCGTTCTTCCCATGTTTGGTTATTATCTACTTATTTTGTTTCCTTATATTCAGCATTTAATGTTTTATAAGTGGTACTGAACTATGTATGCCTTTATACATTCAAAAATTTAGATATTTCCTACCCATGGAATCATACAAAGGTGAAGTCATAACTCTTCAAGCGGGTCCTTTAGCGAACCGAGTCTGTGCTCATTTTTGGAACTTGCAAGAATATGGATTTTTCAATAAATCAAGAACTAACGAATGTGAGTTTCCTTTCACGTATAAAGTTCTGTTTGATGATAGTACACGCGAACCAAAACCACATGTGTTAGCCATTGATATACGCGAAGTTGTTGATTTCGGAAGTGAACTTGATCCTGATTTAATCCCTACTCCACTCGACATTCCTTCTTGGAACAGTCAAGTGGATAAAGTTGTGCGTTGCCCATCTACATCGACCAAAAATAATTATCATTGTAATTGGACCAACTGTTTGTCTCCTCTTGCTCGACGAATATGGTCTCGTAATGATACTGTTCTAAAGCTGCCATTATCATTACAACCTACTCCTGACGAGTCTTCTGTTAATGGAAATCATCAATCAGATTCTATCCTTAGCCTTTCTACATTTACTGAGGTAATTGCTGGTCATTTTATAACTTTGTTTATTTTTCATAGATATCCAACTTTAATAAAACTTTTATACCATGAAAGCCTTTAACGGGAAACTTATTGTTTGTAAAATTGTACATAGATGATTGTATACTTTAAATGTGAATAACTGTATGATATGCCTAAAAAGCACAAGTTTGCAAGAGCAAGTTATGGTAACTTCTTCGATACACTGTGTATCATGGTGCTTTCATATTTAAACGTAACTGAATTAAGATAGATAAAGAATTATTGCTACTGACCGTTCTTTAATCGTATCTCTGGTTTGATTTTGGACATAGTAGTTTTATCTGGAATTAGATACATGTAACGTATATGCAAGTACTATGCCAGTTACGTGAGTACCTATGCTTACTAAACAAGTGATCAATACAAATATGAGCAACGCTATTCTACTGCAAATAGTAAAATTTCCGTTGACTTTGTAAGTGGACTCTTTGTCTGACAAACATAAGACTTTTTCTTGGCCTAATAGTCAGTGTATTTAAAACCTGGTTCTCATGTCCAGTTCCAGTAGGTATGTTTTATGCGAGTTATTTGTGAGTGCATCACTTAGCAACTTACAACTGATTCCTGTTCTCGATAGATATCAAAATGTCAAGCTTTTTGTTGCTTTTTACCCTGCGTTTCTGTCTATATTAGTTTGATGTTTGCGAAATCAAGGTTATACGTCTAAAAGTTGACTTAACACATTTCAGAAACTCTATATACTATAAAAGTGAAGGATTTGCTGATGGCTAAAATTTCGTTTGATCTAAAACACTTGAAGACTGTACATAGTGTGATAAATTTACTGACTTCCAAATTTCCTTTACTATATTATGTAAGCGTCTGCGAAACTCATTTATCACTAAACGTCGTAACTGGCTTTTGTCTGTAAGTTACTGTAAATGCAATAAGAATGATCGTCTCGAATTTCGAAGCTCATGAAAAGACTTGTCTTTTCTAACTTACCAAAATTGCCTCTGAACTATCTAATATGCTCAGATCTCATACTATAGCATATGATAATTTTATAGAACTAAATAATTATGTTTTAAGAAACAATAGTGCTTGTTTGTCCACTCATATTAAATACTTATCGATATACATATGAGGTGTTTAATATCATCAACAACGGTGTACTGGTTTTATATCGTTGTTTTGTATCTCATGCGTTTCAGGGACAAAATGTATTTCGTTCTGGAGGCAAGGTGGCTGACGAATTTGATGATCGTATCCGTCGTATTTCAGAGCGTTGTTCTTTTCCAAACAGCTTCCAACTGGTTGTAGATGCTGAAGATGGCTTCACTGGTATTGGTTCCCAGCTTTTAGAAAATATCAGCGAAGAATTTCCAAAGGCGTTCTTTTTTTCGGTTCCTGTTTATAATTCATCAGTTGTATCACGTATGGATGCGCGTTTGAAGAAGCTGACCGTCGTAAATCAGTTGTGCTTATTAAATATATTGGAATATGGGGATCTTCTAAGTCATGCATGTTGGTTACCTATAGATGCATCACAGTTATATGATCATCCTCATCCCTGTAAAAAAATGAGTGTCTTAGCCTCTGTTATTGATACAGTTACAACCCCTTCAAAGTTGGCGATTGAATATGGTGGTATGAGTCTAGATAACTTTTTGTCTGTGACATGTTTTGCACAAGGTAGAAAGGTGAGTTACTTTAAGGTTGTGTTGACCAACGTTTTTTGTATGCATTTAATTTCATTGGGTATTAAAATATATATAAGTGAGAGTTTTATAACTTGATTGTCTTTAAAATGATGGACGCTAGTACATATATAGGTTAGAAAATTAATATTCTGAGTCCAAACGAACGTTTCGTTAGAATGTTTTTTAAATAGTTTGAGTAAAGTGGTTTTTCAAACAGATCTTCATAAGTTACCTACTTACCAGACTCAATTTTGTGTGATGGGTTGTAGGGAATAAAGGCTTCATTTATCTGTTATTTCCAAATTCAGTTAAATTAAATCGTTCATCCAGCATTCATATATGAACCACACATCAGGTATGACGACCAATCATACTACCCAGTTGCCCTAAGATAAGTAAATGTAGCGAGTTTCGAACCTTGGACTTAGTGGTGAAATTATCTATTCCAAGTGTTTCCATGTGATTTATTAATATGTATGGTCAATGCATATAACTTGTAATAAATTCCTGAGCAAGCTGAAAGTAATTTCTATAGATAATCACTTGATCACGTTATTAACTCTTTCTTTCTTTTGTATACATTTTTGTCATAACAGTGAGATAACATTTGACCATGGTTAATGATGTTCTAGATATATGTATATTTTTCCCCAGTAAATTGTTAGCGTGTACCTTTTATTCACCAATTGATTACATTATATCATTTATTTTGGTTTAGTGATATTTCTTGCTCTTGCAAATTAAACTTGTTCTTGCGTACCACTATTTGAGTAATGATTGTTCTGACCCATAAGAATTAATACCAGTATATTAAACCGTACAAGTTTCCATATGTTTACTATTTATTTAAGTGAATCTCTACTGTAAAACCTAATGTCTCGTTATTGTCACTTATAACTTCATCCCCTTCTTTATATGACGCCGCCTTTAACACGTAAATACTAATTACTCGTAATTGTTATGTTAAATATATTGCTTTCTCTCTTTATTGCTTATATCGTTTCTAATCACATTCCGTTAATTGTGATATGTAATAAATTTTCCAGAACAATATTATTAATGTAAATTTAGGCCATTTTGAGCCTTGAATTATTATGGATTCATGTAATTCTGCAAATCTTATTATTCTTGGTTTATTTGAATTTATCAAGGGATCATAATGTAGAAACTTTTATATTAGTTATTATCGACCATCTATTTCTTGAATAACCATCTTAAAAATTAAACAAAATTATCATAATTTTCTATACTATTTGTTTACTGCGATGTAATATTTAAAACTTAACTGTATGAGTCAACTGACGATCTGATAATTTAAAAGATCATGACTTCCAATCATTAGACTGAAGATTCGAACTCTGCTTTACCTTTTTATAGGGGCTAAGTAATCGATCAGTATTGTTTACCTTCATACAAAAATGCATATGTTAAGATTGAGTACATAGGTCTGTACTTGTTCAATCAATTGCATAAATCTATTAATGTAACTATCTAAACTGTTTATAACCAAAAATTAACCGTTTTTATGCAACACTTATTAACTTAACTAGTAATTCTTTCTCATTTATTTCATTAGATGCTCACTGTACAAACTGGAGTTAATTGTAATGGAATGGTAGATAATCATTTATCATGGTATAATCTTAATCCTTATTACAATCAAGGTAAAATAATAGCTGGTAAAAATGTACCATCTGAAGCTGTATTATGTCGTCAGTTAATGTCTCGAGGAATTAAACATTCTACTCTTTTAAATGACATATGGAATATGTTCAGTCGAACAGTTGATTCACATAAAACTGTTAACAATTCACCAATTGACATAGATATTCCATATTTATGCTCATTAGAATCAATTCATTCAGTTTATTCATTACCAAACTATCCATTACAGACTGGTATTATTAAACAAACTATGTTATCATCATTGTCAACGTATTGTCAACAGTATACAAATACACATATGTCATGTGTTGTTGATGTTCCAAGTACTAATTCATATGAAGCAAAAATGTTTGAAAAGCTTGTAAAATCTTTATTATTGCATAAATCTCATCCACTAGACAATTATATGGAATTGGAGACATGGAATGATTTTTTAGAGTCTGTTCAAACACGTTTAGTTGATTCGTATTTGAATGAATGAAATTAACTTCTATAACGTTTGTATAAAGGAAATTATATATTTCAAAGATTTTTAGATTTCTGCATTTAATTCCTCTTGTATATTATTTTCTCTGTATCACTTAGCTTTGATTTGTATGTTGGCATTTAAAAATCAGTGTTACATTCTGTTCCGTTGAGTATTGATTTATCATAAATTGTATTCTAGTTCTGCTTTTTATTTATTGTAAAGCATCTTACTTTTTAGTGATCATCAATTTGTAGGTGTTTCTTTGTCGTTGATTCAATGAACTGTGCTGGTGGCTTTAACATTCTTTGTATTTTCATAACGTATTAACTATTTTCTGTTTTACAATAGGACTAATCATGTGTTAATTCTTGTAATATCACTTTTTCATTATTCTATCAACAGAACTGAAAGAATGTAATTGATTGAGTATAATAGTTATCTTTAATTAATATTGGCCAAAGAATAGTCCAAGATCGGGAATTAGTGTTTAACTATTTTGTTTTACTTTTAAGCTGTTTGTGTACGGGTTCTCAGTCAGCTACAGAATAGGATTCATGCATTCATTGTGTTGGTATTCATGTGTCTGAATTCCAACTATTCGCGGATATGATTTGACCGTAATATAATGCTACCAGTAAACATACACTATCTGACTAAGGAAAAACAGTTTATGTTAAGAGTGTAGTATAGAGCGGATAAGTTTTCTAAGTTCATACGCCGTCTGGATTTTTAATAACGGTTATCATGGCAAATAATATACGAAGCCTAAGAAATTATCCCACAGCTAATCCACTACAGTCCTTTGGATGTCTCTGGTGACCGTAATTCATTGGCACTCATACTATATAGAACCGGTTACGTCACTACTCTATCAAGAACTGATTTGGCAAACTTTTTCAGTGCCTATAATGTCGGTGTTCCTTTCACATATAGAAAGACTTGAAAATTGTTGCACTACGTTTTCCGAGTATATTTGATCATACTTGGGTACGCTACATGGTAGATCGGTTGATAAGATTGTGACTCTATCGACTGAGTTACGTTGGTAAATGCTGGCTTCAGATTCTAGGTGACATACCTCGAAATCGGTCACAATCGCATAGATTCATTTACTTTGTCTTCCGTTGATCCTGATTTCCAAAATTATATACTTTTTATTTTGCGAACTCATTTTTCTAGAATCATATCTCTTATCCTTAGTATTTTTTGCCATCACTGATACTTCCATTAGCTTGATATTCATCTGGCTAATTTCATGTAACTATGTTGTTGCATTGTAGGAATTTGAACCTTTTCTCATACTTAATTGTTTCTATTTTATTTATGACTGACTTACAGATGCACATAATGATCATGAAAATCTGCAGTTCTCTCAGATTTTGGTTACATGAAAATTTAGAAATTTTTAATACTTCAATGTAACTAACCGAAATATCAAAAAAGGTACCCAAAAAGTAATGAAATAGATGATCAACTTTTTGTTTCAATGGATAAACTAGTTTTAGTACAACCGGATGTTTTCTGTTAATCATTGGCAAATTTTATACATATTTCATCATTGAATTTGGCTGTTTCATTGAAAACGGTTGATTTTTATTGTTATGATAATGAATGTATGAATAAATGACTGATATTATCTGTGATTCCATAGAGATGTACACAATTCTTTTTTTACTTAGTAATGTATTGGTGACAGATTTTGAGAGAAGGTATTAAAAATAGCGTAAACATTTAGTTCAGAATTATAATGGCAATAGTCATAGCTTCTGAATAATCAGCAAAGTTTAATGTTGCGTGTAACTATTATCACCTATTTGCTGAAATTCTTTATCCTATGTAACAATATAGTTGATGAGACTACGTAGAAATAAAATTAATATTCTTTTCCATTAAATGGCATTAGTTGGAAGTTCCATTGAAAACTATGAAACACTAGAAGTTTGTTTATCCTGTTTTTGCGTACACCACATCGTGAGTCCATGATTGAGAGTGAAACATTTTCATTGACAGTAATTCGACTAGAAGTAGATGCTTTGAATCCTAGAACTTCAGTCAACTTTATGTACAGTGGAAAATTCCATTCCTCAGTGTCATCGGTTGATATTAGTCCTCAATCTTGTTTTTGTTTACTCTGAAGAACATAGTTTTCAGAAAGAACTTATTGGGATTTGTGGTTAGCATTGGATATTCAGAACTGATTCATTTTTAGATACTGTTCACCATAGATTAATACAAGCTTCATAGCCATTGATAATCAAACAGAACTGGGCAACCATTGATACTTATCCAGTAGAATGAAAGTCTCTTAAAAGTTAGGAAGCTGAATAAACTTGTAACTAAATAGGATACGATCGATAAGTTCTCGAATTCAGTCGCTAAAAAAGATGCAACACTAAGTTAAGTATTACTTCCAGGGTTTACTGATAGCTGCTCCACATAATCGTAACACTCCGATTATATATTTTACTCATTTTTCAAAGTCAATTGATCATTATATCTCCAGTTCGTTTTTTTTAATTGTCTTAATTCCCTCCGCACTGAAATTTTATAATCGATACACTAAGAGGATAAAGTCGATGGTCAATTATCTTTGTAAAAATTCATAAAAATAAATTTTCCGTAATAATTTTTACTACTTAAGGTCAAAAAATCTTTTTTTAACTGCGTAACAGTTTTCTTCAGGTCGTATCACCTAAGAATTTGGACTGATAGTAGGATTGTTTAGTTTATCACAAAATAATTCATAATTAAAACTTGTTGCAAGCGTTAAGTACGATAAATATTAAATTATTGGGTTATAGATACCCACTGAACGTTAGTGTGCTCATCATGTTGATAGCAACTGCTGAAAAAAATTTACTTGGTTTAAATTAATGAAGAACTTATTTCAAACCTTTTTAAAAGGGTATGAAAAGGCTACATAAATTATGCTTAATAATCAACTAAGTAGTATGATATTTTCTGTCAACGAAATGTCAGGGGTTTGTTATTATTTTCCTCTGAACAAACAATGGTATATATTGAATGTTGTCTACAAACATGATTTTGAGGATGATCATTGAGCTTTTCTCAAGAGAGAAATTGGTTATTCATCGAAATGGTCATTAATTTGACTTTCTTTTCTCTAATTCATTGAATTTTGACTAGAGAAGAGCCGTCTCAAATCATTCTCAGTGATATTATAAAATGAACTTTTTAAGTTCTTTAATCATTATCACTTGAATTACAAAATTGTTTAAAGATGTTATCCTTATAGATTTTTTCTTCAGTTAGGATTGTTTAATTTTTAATGTCCATTTCCTTTTGATATGCTAGTTAAAAATTTCATTTGTCGTTGTGCTTAAAAAAAGATTCTTTAAATCCATATAAATTACACTCTTGAAAAGAACATATTATTCCTCATTACAACTGAACTCCACCGACATCTTAGGTTAAAATTTCTTCAAAAAATAATCAACTAATTATTGGCTATTTTGTTACAACTTACTGTGTATCAATTTCCGTCTATTCTTTTCAAAGGATAGAAGGTCTAAAATGCTTTAACGAGCTAAAGATATATGATTTCTATTGTTCACATCGAATTTTAGAGAGCGACGAATACTTAGTCATCATATAACTCTTAATTTGTCAGGCAACTATATTTTCTGGAAATCCAACTTCAGTTTTACAGTACATTCTTATGTAAACATAGAATATCAGTATTTTATGTATATGGTATTTTGTTCTCGTCTTCCAAACCTTATAACTATGCACATATGGCAACTGTTATTAAGTATCACCAAATGGTTACCTTCGACATGCCAATGTTTTATTGTTATCAGTGATGAAACTACTCTGAGATTTAAGAGATAAAATTTAACTACTTTTAAGAATAAAGTAGGATTCATAATTTGGTAACTGTTTCAATCAATCCAAGTAAATTAAACCATTATCCATAAGTCACTGGTGTAATGGATAACACTGCAGATATGAATTGAGATGGGCTTGATTTAAATAGCGACAGAATAATCTTACTTCTAGTATATACTCATTTGGATGAGCAAAAAATGTTAAAACACAACTTTCCTACCTTCTAGGATATCATTACATGAAGAGAGTAAGACCAGAGCTCATTTGTTTGTATTGTCTATCTTAAAATTGATTTTGGATGGAGAATTGTAGAGAACTAATAAAAATTCATAAAATATGAGTTGAGTTAATATTCAATATTTAGGTCCAAATTCAATAGTTCTAATAACTGAATAATATAAGATAATCAGTTAATCAAGTTTCGGTTGAAACTTAGGTTTACGTGTTCACATTACTAGTACACTCGAGCTATACATAAGTTAATAAAACTGTTCAAAATTATACAGTATGGAGAAAAAAAAGTTCTGTTTAATCCTAATTGTAATCATTTAAATGTCGACCTGTTAACTAACAGAAAGCGACTATTTAGAGGCCGTGTATTCCTTGTTATACAGATTTCTTCTACTTGTTCATTTGATAATTCTTAATGTATATTTTCTCAGAATTGATAAAATGGTATTTAAATATCGATTTTTCAAAAGTCATCGGCTAATTTACGTTGTGAGATTTTTAAGATATCACTTCATTTATATGAACGTCTACTACTGGGAAGTCTGTTCATAAATAAATTGTCTATATATTTGAACTTATGTAATGGATATCATGATAGAAATTATTTTGATATAACAATTTGAAACAGACGGAGACTCAAGATTCTTGTCTTGAATCTCCAGGGAAATATGTTTCCAATTACTTAATTTCTAACAAGAGTTGTTTTTGAATAGTTAAACTTATTGAGACTTTGAAAAATATTCTTGATTGAAGATAAATAAAAATTCTATGTCTGATTATTTCATAAAATGAACCTTTAATGAAATCAATGCTATATATATATATATATATATATATATAACATTATTAAGTAATGCTGATTATAATGCATACCATCTTGACGGAATATCAATATTTTATGGAAGATACATAGTAAAAATAATATTTATTGTTAGGTTCCATTGAATGTAAACATTAAAATCGATATCTATGTCTTATGTTTTTGAAATTCATTATTAAAAATAACACGAAATATAGATTGATCAATATATGTCATCTTTTGTCAGTAAAGGAACATTTGCAAGAAAACAAGCATGAAATTAGTTTGTACTTGTCAACTTAATTAATGTCAGAGACTAAATCTCATTTTTAAAAAAAGAAAAAGAATCACGTGACTATAACTGCCGTCATAATAGGTATAGATTCAGGGAATGCAGAAAGTAATATCGGTATTTTTATAAAGCAAAATCAAATAGAGTTAAATTTTAGATCAATACTTATGATTACCAAAAAGGGTATCAACACTAAGGTTTAACTTTATAGTTTCAAATCAATTGAGCATTGGGTAGAGAGTTAATAATAAATATAAGCATAGCTTATTTTTGATGAGGAACAATTGAAGGAGTTGATTAAGTATCATTGTTTAAATCAAGAACTGGATTTTCTTAAACAACTATCAGATGCTTTGTCCTGGTATTCGGTTATCATTTAAGACCCTACAGGATATATATATATCCTGTAAGGTCTTAAAGAAAAGAAGACGCAGGACAGTGGGTTGTAGAATGCTGGTTGGCGGCCTATGTTCCATTATGAGTAACAGGCGTAAGTAAGTAATTATTGGAATCTAGTCCAATAATTTTCTATCCATTTGGATGCTCATAGGCTAAAATGTGTTGCTCAATAAATTCTGTATCAATAGATAAAACATTTAATTCATGGATTTTGTCCCGTTTTATTAATGTCACCTCATGGATTTTTACATTGAGTATTATTTGCCAACTCTGAGGCTGAGTAAATAAACAGATAAGATGGTTAGTTTATGACATCTTAGCATGGTATGATAGACTGTTTTGAATTACTGGCGTCCGTTTGTCTGTCCTCCAGAGTTATCCGGTTTTTATTATAGAGATTGCACAACTCAAAAGATTCTTTGTTCGCTATATCCTTAACTGATCTTTATCTTTCATTAAACAACATATCTGTGCGTTTTCCATTGATTGTACTAACGTTCACTTTGAAGCCGTGGCCAGTAGAATTCAACCGCGTCTGCTGTGAAGCGGTTACTGATTGAAGACAATGGTGGACGGTCGCGCAGTATCGTGGATTGGTTGAAGTAAGACGTTAACACCGTTGGATGCTGGCTCAGTGGTCTAGATGTTAAGCGATCGCGCTCGAGAACGAAGGCCCTGAGTTCGAGCCCCATGTGTGGAATCTTGGATGTGCACTACTGAGGAGTTCCATAGTGGAACGAAACAGCCATCCAGTGCTTCATGATATCAGTCTAAACTCAAAAATCTCCACAGCACTATATTGATCTTTATTTCTTTACATAATGGTAGATTCATTTGTATAGTATATTTTTTTCTTGATACTCAGTTGTATCATAGTTTATTTCTTTTGCAAAATTCAACTAATATGTTTCATAGAGCTAATGAATTAACTATTCAGGTAAGTCACCAAAATCTCAGTTCATTTATAAAAGACTGATCAACCAAAACATGTTTCGGTTATTAAGAGTTCTCTGTGAAACAAACATCCATTTTCACTATTAACAGATGCTACAAAAATAGCTGAATCATTTGATAATTAAAT